TCACAGCATATAAGAAGACATAGAAGATAATATATATAAAAAAGAGATTCAGCTTTAGTATTACTAGATTCCATTATGTATTTAGAGTAGCTAAATTAAGTAGAAAAAAAAAATATAGAATAGGTAGGATTACTACAAGATAAAAATAAGATTAAAAGAGAGAATTGGGCTGCAGAGAATAATTATATATTATATATATATATATATATCTTGATCAAGCTTACTAATGATTTATACAGACAGGTAATAGAAAAATATTACTTTAATAAAAAATATTTCTTTGTTAATTTACTAGATTTAAATATAGTTATCTACTCTACCAGTATAGCAATACTGCTGAAAATTAAAAAAATACTAAATAAATAGTACAGTTCAAATATATTAGAATTTTAACAGAAAATCTTTCTAAAATATAATAGTATTATAGTCAGGAATATAATAGTATTACATCCCTCTTGTCCAGAAATCTGACTAATCAGAGTGGATTAAAATATTTGGGGTTCCTGCACCCTAATAGTATTGCATTGCAATGTCATTACTCCTCTGGTATATAGCAGGTAAATTTTGGTATTAAGAATAATTAAGATAATTAACTGTCTTATTTTTGGCTGTTCTGTGATTAAATATAAGATTTTCTTATATCTAACTGTTAATCTGACAGCAGGTATAAATTTTTCCATTAACCTACCCTACCCTGGCCGTTAACCACTCTACACAGGCTACCCGTGAATACTTTATTATTTGTGGATAGAGAAAGAAGATAATTAATAATAATACTTTAACAATATTAACCCTATATTTGTGTTCGCGAATAAGATATACTCTTCACACTATCTCATCACATTCACCCTTATATCTAGATAGCTTAATTAGGAAGCGGAATGGCTAGCTTGGAACAAGGGATAATACAAACTTTTGATATACCAATGTAGGTAAGAAATGAATTATTAAATATCATAGATTTATATATTAAAGATAAATGTAGCCTATATTCACAGAAATGCAGAATAGACTAATTCTTAGGAAATTAGTAGCAGTTCAATAATAAGAGATCCTTATCTTATATTTATCATGATTAGCTAGCCTATGGATAATCGCATGATCTTTATATTTACTGACTACCGTAATATATCTTCCTGATGATTCTAACTGTGATAGTCTAACTATTCTATCACATACTTGATAACGGCTGATTTCTATGATCAGTTCCATGCACTGTCCAAATTGTACGGCATGAATTCGTCGTACGGTGTCTGGAGCGCTGGATGGAACATTGTCTCGTTCCTCATTTCTGAGTCCATAAATGCCGACTCTCCCGTTCTGTGCGGCATAACGGGAACATGAGTAAAATTGTGCTCAGCCTGGGAGACTAAATTTGGGACATCGTCAGAAGGCGTAAGTTTTGTTGACAGCGCCGCAGAGAACCTAGGAACTCTGTCCTGTTCGATAATCGAGCGGAGAAGGAGCCGACGATGAAGACTATCGCAGACTCTGAAAGCACGTTCAGCAGCGAGATCATCAGCCGCCAGAGCGGAAAGCCAGTCTAGCGCTTTTTTAATGCGTGATTCGATGAAAGCGGCCTGGTCTGCACCGGTTCCGATGCGATAGCCCAGCTCTATCAGCAGTATGGTTGCTGACTGCATGAGGTAGTGCAGGACACACCACCATGGAGATACCTGGGCCAACCAGATACCGTCAGGCTTATCAGGCAGGAGATCCAGAAGCTGGCAAGCTGAATCAATACATATATCTGCGGTTTCCTGAAGATCCTTGGAAGGCTCGGTGCCCTGTCTGTGCCTTCCCGACCGACAAAGGGATGGCCGACATATTGTAATCCTCACACTATGAAATCTGACGGCAAGGCCCCACTTCCACCTGTCAAATCGACCTGATTCTTGATGATCCTTGAAGCTAAAGGCTTCAGCTAAACCGGAAAGCCATTCGTCTGTTTCGTGCACCAGGTCTATCATGGCCGCATAGATAGTAAGCCAAGGACGTCTTGCGAATCCCGGACTGTACAAGGAATCAACTGCTTGACGCATGATCTTGGTCAGCTCGACAAAATAGAGAAAATATCGAGAATTATTAGGGACAATATCCTGAGGTTTGGAGTCAGGCCTTCGGCCGCCAATTTTGTCGGTATTTGGAGGCCTGTTCGCAGGGGTACATCCGAAGAATGTAAAGTCCCGCATATACTCAGCACGAAATCCCGAATCCGCTAAGAGTTTCACAGCAGGGTCTTGATGAAATTGCTCTTCTTCGAAAGGTATTGGCAAAGGTGTCGTACAGAACCTATCTGAAGTTCCAGTAGGCCGGCCAGTCATCACTGAAAGTGTGTTTTCCAGTGTATAGAGTGACCACCAAACACGGTATCGGATCTCTCTAGAAGTATTGGATATTTCTGTACTCTGATTCCGCAAATTTATTCCCATAGCAATGGAAGACCTTATTGCGATACCACACACTCTCCAGGACCTGCGATTCGGTGAGGACGTGGGGGGCTTTTGACGAACAGAGGTAAACTAAGAAGGAAAGAGGAAAGGAAAGGCAAGCAAAGGGTAAGCAAAACTGCCATCGCACCTATTAATATGGCCCAACACCATACACAGAAACGCAGTGAGACCTTCAATTTGTACCTGTTGAAGATTGGGATGTTCAATTAATGGATTTTCTGCGGTAGCGAGTTGCTGAGCCCGGAAGAAATACTCCGTCGGGCTATCCATGGACTGCATCAAATGTTGAGGTACTAAATGTGCAAACTTGGCAGCAGCAGCAAAAACCAAATTCAAAATCGCGAGCCATTTCTTCGGCGGACGTAGATTTGGGTTGGCGTAATATCTGCCCACTTGTTGCGTAAAGGACAGTTTGCTGATAATAGGAAACGAAAGATGCACAGTCTGAAAGTATAGGCAAAGCAGTTGCTCCGCAACACCTTGAGGTGGCTGAATCTGAAGATCAATGTTTCCATAAATGGCCAGCTCCTGATCATCCAGAAAATAACTCACCCTACTCAAAACTTCTGAGTCATTAGTTGGAACTCCATTCGGAGAGATTCCATCCGAAGATATTGTGTATTTCTCGACCTCCTGGTTCAAATCCTGAATCCAGGACAGCTCAGAAGGACCGCCAATAAATCCAATGGGCTGTAAAGTTTTGCTACTATGAAGGTCCTCCTGTACACACTCTATTGCGTACACGGCACCATCCCCTACTGCTTGGGACTGCCTACGATCTGTAACGGTGCCCTCCATGTCAGATGTCTCGCTGTACTTGAAAAATGTCAATAGGGGCCAAAGCTTATAAACAGTCATTCAGATGGTGGCATACATGGGCAAGAGTCCGAGCGATAAGGTCCCCGTCCTTGGGCGAGACTCGAAACTGTACCCGGCGCAGGAGTTTCTCGTACACCTGAACCTGACTTTCAAGATCTCGGTATCTCCTGAAATCTGTCAGTCACTGTAATTTCTCAGCGCAGCATGAATGCGAACGCACCTCTCCATGGTCTCTCTTTTCCCATCAATGTAGACGCACTCTATTCCACAAGCCGCGCATCGACTACATGGCTGGCGACCGTCGCATTTGGCCTTGCGGTTTCTGCATTCCTTACACGCCTTCCTAGTGCGTGGCCCCACGGCCACTTCACGAATCGATAATCTCGGGATGGCAATCTTAGAAGTAGAAGTACTCGGAGAAACAGACTCTGAGTCTGGATTTAAGGCCATATCAGCAAAGATGACGCTTCCTACGCCTCAAATGATGCTAATCGTAATGGGATCGTGCCTGCGCAAAAATACCACCACTGAGTAACATGAGTAAATTGTTCCATTTCTTTGAAAATTGCTTTCGAGGTGTTTGTGCGGCATTTGCCGTTTATCACAGACCACAAGACTGTGCTTGGACATTAGGATCCGCGCGTCAGTCGACATGTATGACGTCTTTTGAAAACAAAAGGTGGTTTCGGCCCCGCGCACTTGCAGCTAAATATGATAGCTTGTATAACATTCGTCGAGGGCTACAGTGGTGGAGTCTGACTAACCTGCTATGATTGGACGGCAGAAAGATCCGGCACTACGTTGCAGTGCGGTAAGAGCATGCACTGTAAACGACGCTATTACACATCTTAGACATTCTGCACGGCAACTTCAAGAGCTTTTTATTCGGAAAGGCCACTTGGACAAATTCCAGAGACTGTAGCACATAGCTTGGCTACTGAGGTGCCAAATTTTGGACATATGAGGAACTAGTTCTTCGGTTTTTAAAGAAGATATGGTCTATCCGCAACTAAGTTCTCCTCACTTTCCCGTGCTTTCTAAGACAACTAGACCTCCCATGAATGAATCTTCTTCGGCCTTTTTTTTTATTTTCATCCTGTTTCATCCATTGGAAGTTCTCTTTTTTTGGTGAATGATACACATTCTGAGGAGATACCCAGTTTCCCCTACAACTCAAACCGAACAATCAAATTTAAAAAGTACCACTTAGCTTTTCATCGAGACTATCAAATATCAACATTAGTTCCAACTATGCAATAAAGACATGCTTTTTCCACTGACTCACAGGTACTCCAGATCGACGATGCCGCTTTTGCAAGAGTAGAGTGGCTTTTTTAGACCCTTTCTTTGACCATTTGAGGCAAAACGGTTAAGAAAAATACAGGATTGGGTATAGATATCATAAATTGATAAATTCATACATATATATAATCTTAGATCTCTCTAATTAATAGATATAATATAAATAAATATTTATATAATTATTAAAAATAGTAATATAATTATATTTAGCATATAATACACTTACACTGTTGTTATTTTTTTAAAGACCACAGCACGGTATATAGGAAGTTAGTATTAGCACGACTTCAGACAAAGAGTAGATCTGGATGTAAACTGTACTATGAATTAATAAGATTTGAATAGAATAATAATTGATTCCTAATAGTACATGGGGCATAAGTATACAGGGGAATGATTGAAGGATTGGCATATTGACAGCCAAAAATGGTGTTGATTGCGGCTGTTTTAGGCAGTCCAATCGTCCATCTGCTGTCTTCTAGTTTAAAGTAGATATTTATCTGATTATCAGCCGCGTGCTTAATGCATGAATTAAATGTATGACTATTTCAACTAAGAATTGTAATTTGATCCTGGTATAATTCAGAAATAAATCATCCAGGTTACTAATAACTCAGTAGTCTCAGTTAACTACCTGGTAAAACCGTACAAGACTAGAATCTGAGTTAATAGACTCAGAATGTGTTTTCATACTATATTGTAGTCATGTGACTAGTTGTCACACTTTCTACCCTGGCACGTAGATCCTATCACAAGAGAGTAGATAATTCTTCTTTCTTTATCTATATATATAAGCCTTTGTGAAATACACAGGCTTCCTTTTGGCCTGCTTAGTCAGTGTAGTCTTCAGGTTGTCACACTAGTTTCTTTTCCCAAGCCCCTTAATCTCGTAGCGTGTGTCTATTCTCGTAGTAGTATTGGTTGGGATCTGAATGACTCCAATGCTTGATTTCCGCTTGCATTGAATTCCAACTTTTCTCTCATCCACTCCTCGTCCCTTAACCTCTCCTTCCCAAAAAGTTGAGTAGAGAGAACAAATTTCTCGGCACAGAAACATCGTTCACCTCTACTGGCTCGATGAAGTCGTTCGTCTTCTTCCCACAGCTGCCTTGGGAAATATGAGATGCAATCTGGCGATTATGCCTCCCGGGCCCTCAGATAGTAGAATTTGATCGTCCGATCTGTGACAATGAACCCTGCCGTGGATTTTGTGGGGTCCATCATCGCTATCACCTCCGACTTCCGGCCCTTGCAGCTGTGTGCCAGGAGTCACGCCTGCTGGTTCTTCGATAATATTACATCCCTGAGGCGGACGCCGAGATCCCGCGACCGTACTATCCCGCCGCATACGAGCACGTTGTCTTCCGACCGGGAATCGATATTCTGCATATCAACTGGGACGAAGGAGACCTGGGCGCATACGATCTCTGGAACGAAGAGGACAACGCAATCCCATATTTTTGCGCGGTGACTCGGAAAGCAGTACACAACCCGATCTCCATCACTGACCGACACCTCCGGCAGGAATTCGACGAACCCTTCTTCGCCGGCAACGTTCGCGTTGCCGCACTGGACAAGTATGCAATGCGAGACCACTGGTTGGTTCTAATACGGACTGTCAGTTTTGACTTCAAGGACGACGCTGAGGCGCTGCGGTCCGGGTTGTTTGGGGAATTCGAGCTGGACCCTGTGCGCTACGTCGATCCTTATGACTCAGACACCCTGCACCGTTATCATCAGCTCTGGCAGACACAAAACCCCACTGCCATCACCACCTGCAACACTACTGTTCCTGTCACCCCGAAAACGCCATGGACCCGAGAGATCCAGCAGGCGGCTGCCGCAGAGTTTTTCGCGTTTTCGGAAGATGATCACCAGCCACTACGTGAGCGACTCGCGCGGTGGAAGGAATACATTGACCGTCGCTGGGTCTGGAATGTATTCTACCGGATAGCGGAAGAGGCCAAGGCCGGAGCCCCGGTAAGCGTTCCGGATCGTGACGTGCTGTTCCTTCCGCCCTACCCTGGCTACGACTGGCAAGATGATGAGGAGACTTACGATGACTTTCGATCCAAATATACGCTCAACCGGGGCCATCCTTGGATACAGGCAGTTTTGGACAAAATGCCCGTCTTCCAGCCGATGTTTGTCTTCCGCCATCGGATGGGGATTGGTTGCAACGGCTGGCATTTATACGTAGTAGAGGGGTCTTGAAAGGAGCTCTGCCGGCCTCCCAAGCTAAAGTTCGCATCGAGCAAACGTGGTGTTATGTAGTGTGAACTAAAATCACATCCTTTTTATATTTGAGTGCTATATTCCTTCACTACTACCGACACTCAGTCAGCGCTGCTTTAAATCAGGCTTACCACCGTTAGTATGTATCTTTTTTTTTAGATTATCATTGCTTTCCTTGGCTGCTTATTCCATCAATTGCCTTATGTTCATGTCGCTGTTTTGGGTATTTTGACAGAGTTAAATATTTGCGGCCAGAGTGCCAATCAATATAGTAGGAGATACTTATACTGAGTAGATGCCCTTATCAGGCTGATACAGGCCATGTTGGCAATCAATGTCCACGAAAGTCCAGCCATTGTGATCTACTATGTCACGATTCAAACTTAACTAAATTATAGACATTCAACCATTGAACTTGCTTAGCCTCACGTGGAGTTGCGGTCCGTGCATCCCCTAATGCCTTCACCCTTCCGGATATAAGCTAAAATCATTCTCTGCCAGCGCTTAGCTTCATCCGTTTGATCCCAAGTGTTGATTCATAACCGGCTACCGGGCAGTAATACGATGTAGTTGTCAGACCACTTGTTTTGGTGACTGCCTCATAGTGCAAGGGCTCTAGCGGGACAGTGCGGGTCAGATCTATTAGGTAATTATAGCTCTACACTACAACCTTGAAGTGATATTAGCTTCATTTTCGATAGCTCTACGCTTCTTTCCTCAGGGAATAGCCACGATAGTACAGTTACTTTGAGGTATAAGCATTATTTTAGCATTACATATTAGGAGAGGTAATTCATGCGCTGTGAAGGAAGGTCTAATAGAGCTACTACTAGTATTGATATTAGTATTGTCAGACGTTATATCCACCTGCCTCCTCTATAAGCTTCATTATCTATAATCATGAGTATCTTCACGTCGCCAGTCCTTATTATACGATGCCTAGAAAAAGATTTCTTCTCTACTGTATTTCACATTGAGTGCTAGTTCCAATTACAAACCATTGAATTGTATGTTTACCGGACATGAACCAGGACGTTGCAGGGGGAAAAGGGACAAAGCTAATGAAAATCATCGTGCACTGGCCAGGCAGGCTAGTCCCTCGCATCATACTCAGACTCCGGATCTGAACTATCGAAGCCAAGCCGTCGGTCAGAAAAGTTCACCGCCACGCGATGAAATGCATCTGTGGTTGGATACGTCCGGACTGACTCTTCCTGTCAACTTCGCTTTCATTTCCGGCGCTAGAGCCATAGGACTATCACCTGTGACTCGTCGTATTTGGATAGGGCCTGCACCAGATCGACAGACTTCCAGCCTAGTCATTGAACTTTTTGCATAATGTACCAGCTCGTGGAGTAGCCAAGCCACCCGTCTCAGCATTTCTTCATTTTCTCGTTCCCACCGAATGATTTCGTCTCGCATGTCCTGTACCCGGATCTCCTCGAACAGGCCGCGGTTGTGATAGGCCACGATAAGGGTCGGGATCTGGGATACCCACAGACGAGGGGTCAGGTCGTTCATATCAATTTCTTTTTTGATGGCCTTTGTCTTGAAGTCAACCATTGACCGAGTTTTAATATCAATGATATCGCGCTGGTCGACCCGTCGCCCAGCTTCCTGAATCGTAAGTTTTCCGGGGTGTTCAACAGGATCAGGACTGTGGTCTTCTTGAAGCCTTGCTATCAAGCCATCAATATCGGAGTCTACATCCCCAGTCGAGATGTCCCTGCTTGCCTGTAGGTTACTGGATGGCATCTCCGGGGACTGCTTTGGAACATAACCATCTGATTCAAATCGAAGGAGAAGGTCTAGGCCTCCAAAGGTATACTTGATTATTCGCTGGTGTGATTCGGAACCAGCAAGTCCCGGTGCCCACGTTGTATTTTCATCAAGGAATGTATGTCCGTAGCCACGGACATCTGGGATCAGATCGTTGGGCGAATTCTCCCTTCGGATGAAGCATACGCTATCTCCAGCCGTTTCCATTATGAACCTGAAGTCTTTGTCCATGCCTCGAGCGAACCGGACGAGGTTTCCGAAAGTACTGGAGCAGGTTACTATATCGATATTGACGATCTCGTAGTCCGGACTCTGCCTTCTGATTGCCTCAAATGAAGCCTGCCACGGATAAGAAGGATACCTGGCCGCATTAGGGTCGCGAAAGTACTCCCCCCGATCCGGTTTTAGCTGGCGGCCTTCGGTTGCGGGGCTCCAGATAGGCGGCTCGCCTTGCAGAGTGATTTCTGTCACTATTGTTGCTCCAGTGACCGCCGGTGGCAGGGGGAAACATACCGGGTACGAGAATCGATGGTGAGGCTCGGCCTAGCCATGTGTACGAACTGACATACTCGCAGGATGTAATTTGGGGGCATTCCTCGGATCTTTCAAGTTCAGTATTATCAATCTCCAACAGTAGAGGACCGTATGGAGGCGCGGGGGATTTGACAGCTGAGCCTTGTCTGTTCCCAGGTTGTCTGGCACCCGACCAGCCGCGCCGAGCACCGCGATGTTTAGGTGGATAAAGGCCTGATGGAGCCCTCCACATGATGATATTCGTTGTGGTTGATAGAATCTCCAGGTTGTTTGAGTTGATCTTTCACCAATGATACGAGGTGGGGTTGGGCATAGTCGAGATCGAGGAGTGCTCGCCGGGTACCAAAGCATGGCCTGCGGTCGCACCCCGGTCAATTGTGCGACCATTCACATGTCAGCCTCGTCATTCACCCTACATTGGCTTATCTCCCTTTCTCCCTTGCAGGCGGGGTTCTGGCGGGGTTTAGCTATCTCTGCTCTGCTCTCGACTCATCTACCCTCAATGATCACACTTTCCCTTCTCTGCGATCAGTCATATTGGCTTCCCCTTTCCCAATGGCGACACGCTCCGATAAGCTCTCCAAGCACTTGGTGCTCCTTGAGAAGGGCAAGAGACAGGTGACAAAACCAGGTGATGCCAAACTGCTACTAGAAGCTCTTTGTGGTCAAGATAACCATTTACGCTGTATTGAGAGAGTGCTTGCTTCCCCCGCTCTGAGCGATTCGCTTCAGAACAGCTTCCGTCTGGATTTATCGCCGGAGTTTATCAACAATTCCGTGGCCCCATTCCTCAGCTACATACAGCACCCATCAATCGAGGATTTTGGGAGTGGACAATTTCTCCGTCAAATGGTCTCCCGTATCATCGAACCGCCTACATTCTGGAATGCCTTTGTTCAGTTCCACAGCCAGAAAAGGCTTAGTGACCAGGCTGATCGAGGCTTTGCATGGTTGCTCCTTAAAATAATCAGTACCCAGGGCTGCCCCAGTGAAATCATCGCCACCGCCCAGCAAATTTCGCAGGCCCGGACATTTCTCGTTTCATCCTCCCTAGAGGTTCGCACCATCGGCTATCGCATTGATGGCATCCTGAAGACCCTCAGAACTAGGGTAGACGGGAAGGATGACTTCCGGCCCGGTGGCAGACATGACAATGACTTTGAGTGCTTTCGTGATATCTCTATCCTGCCAACCCCAGATGAGATCGCTTCTACGAAGAGGCCCTTCTATCGGCGTATGGATGACATCTACCAGGTTTCAGTGGATGAACGATCGGTCGCTCATTACGATAACCAGTTTCGCCTGTTGAGAGAAGACATGCTAGCAGAACTGAGAAGTGATCTTCAGCTTGCTCGTGGTCAGAGAAAGGGGCGACGATCGGCCTTGACCATCTATGGACTCCAGCTCACTGGCGTCAGCTGTGGTGAGGAGGAGAACCGTCGAAGGGCCTGTAGTGTTCAATTCAAATGCACAAAAGGAATCCCCGGATTATCCCACCTGCCCCAGGCCGAACGTAAACAGTTACTGAGTGAAACTCCCAACTTCCTGAAGCACCAGACCTTTGGGTGCTTGCTAGATAAGATGGAGATTGTCGGGTTTGCTTCTTTAGATCGTTGGTCGTCAGATCTCACAGATGACGTCCCGACGGTCGCGTTGAGCGTGTCTGGTGATGCCGCCCTCTACCGCGTTCTCGCATGCGCTAAGATGGGGCTCAAGTTTGCATTCCTGGTTGTCAATACTCCCATTTTTGCATATGAGCCAATTCTCCTGCAATTGCAATCGGTGATAGAATACCCATTGTCAAACATACTGCTTGCGCCAGCTCCCTCACCGGAGCGGCTGACGTTGGATGAAAGTCTTGAGACTATTGTTGAACGGATACGAAACAGCGAGGGCCAGTCACTTCATCGAATTATCCATACCACGAAGAGCATATCCCTGGACAAATCGCAGCTTCAATCTCTCTTGGACGGTTTGCAGCAAAGCATAAGCACAATCCAAGGGCCACCTGGTGAATCTACACCCGCTCTCTGAACTGTTATGTTGAAGGCTAACAAATGCCATTACAGGAACGGGGAAGTCATTTCTCGGTGCCCTGATTGCCAAGATTTTGCATGATGAAACAAGTAAGACGCTCATGATCATTTGCTACACGAACCATGCACTGGATCAGTTCCTTGAGGACCTTCTGGATATTGGCATCCCAACCACGTCCATGGTACGGCTTGGTTCCAAATCTACGCCGCGTACAAAGAACCTGGGGCTGTTTGAGCAGTCTCGAGGCACGTTGGGCGTTGATTCATGGTCTTTTGTGGACCAGAAAAGGGAGGAACTAGAAGAAGCAGTGAAGGAGTTGCAATCTTACTCCGCAGAGTACAGCCGTGACTCCATTTCCAAAGATGACATGCTCGAATACTTGGAGTTTTCCGAGGACAGCACGTTCTTCGACGCATTCACCGTTCCCGAAGAGCCGACTGGTATGCAACGCATCGGAAGACGAGGCAAAAGTGTTGGAAAATACTATCTCTGGGATGCATGGCGACATGGGCGGGACCCGGGTACTCTCCGCGACCTCATCAGTCCTCAGCACGCTTATATCTGGACGATGGCATTTTCCAGGCGCCGGGAGTTGATGGAGACTTGGCAGAGAAACATACTTTTTGAGAAATCCACTAAATTGGTCGAGCTCGTCAGGAGGTGTAACGTTCTTTCTAAGAACCTGGACGAATACTTTTATCACAAGCGACATTGCGCCGTTCTTGAAAACAAGCGAATTGTGGCCTGCACAACAAACGCAGCCGCTCGATATGCACCAGCTTTGCGGGTCGCTAAACCCGACGTCGTCATTGTGGAGGAGGCCGGGGAGATCCTGGAAAGTCACATCCTGACAGCCATGACTATGGACACGCAGCAGCTGGTGTTAATCGGAGACCACAAGCAATTGCGCCCGAAGATCAACAATTACAACTTGTCCGTCGAAAAAGGTGATGGGCTGGACCTCAACCGCTCCCTCTTTGAACGACTTATCTCCAAGGGCTATCCACACAGCTCCCTCACTACACAGCACCGCATGCGCCCGGAGATATCCCGACTTGTCCGGCATCTGACATATCCGGACTTGCAGGATTCGGAGAGGACGTGCAAGCGACCACCACTCCGTGGGTTCCAAACTGACGTCGTATTCGTAAACCATTGCCATCTGGAGCGTGAACTCCATGAATGTGCCGAAAGAAGGGATCCAACTTCGAAGGCTAGCAAGCAGAATCCATTCGAGGTGGAGATGACGTTGAAGGTTGTCAAGTACCTGGGGCAGCAAGGGTACGGCACGGAGGACATTGTAATTTTGACACCGTACTTGGGCCAGCTATCTTTGCTGCGGACGGAGCTGAGTAAAACAAATGACCCGGTGCTGAACAACCTGGATGCGAACGACCTCATACAGGCCGGTCTTCGGTTGCCGGGGAGTACGAAGGTGACTAGAGATCCGATTCGCATATCAACCATAGGTAAGCGCGCCAACCTTCCAAACTCCGCGATAGATGGTAACCCAGGCAGATAATTACCAGGGCGAAGAGAGGAACATCGTCATTGCGAGCCTGACGCGTAGCAATGAGGCCGGGGATATTGGTTTCATGGCTGCTCCGGAGCGTGTCAATGTTCTACTCTCCCGAGCAAGAAATGCCCTGGTGATGATTGGGAACGCGAGTACATTCCTAGCAAGCCGGAAAGGACAGTCCACGTGGAAGCCTCTGCTAGAGATGCTTCAGGCCCATGGTCAGGTATATGATGGTGTTCCCCTCAAATGTGAAACCCATCCGGATCGCATGATCGTCGTCCAGTCTCCAGAAACGTTTGAGAAGGAATGTCCTGATGGAGGATGTTCGGATCCTTGGTATGTCAGCGTTCCATACAAATACATTGATTCCATGGTTAACTCAAACGGGAATTGTAGCTCAACCTTACTCCCATGTGGTCTTCACTCATGTATTCGACGGTGCCACCGCGCTCTGGATCACAAGAGAATGAAATGCATAATGACTATGCATAAAGCCTGTCCTAAAAACCACAATTACTACTGGGAATGCTCCCAAGGAGAGCCCAAGGTCTGCCCTACCTGTCACGGGGAGGCGATTGAGGCAGAGCGGAGAAGAATTGAAGATGCCAAGCTGGAAGAGAAGCGACGTAAGATCCAGCTTGAACATGCAAAGCAGCTTGCGGAGATTCAGGACAAAATCGAAATGCAGCGGGAACGCCTGACCAATGAGCAGAAGGTCCGAGATCATCAAGAGACTCTTGCTCAAAAGCAAAAGGAGCTTGAGAGCCTGACTGCGGTCGCAAGTCGCCTCACTACCTCCCGGTCAGCTGCGACGAAGGAATCAGCTGGTAGCATTGGTAGCGATAACAGTGAGCCCAAAACGGTCACTCTCAAGTCGGCTGCACGAGATGAGTGGGAAAGGCAGAAGACAGAAGAAGGCCAGTCGAACGCACCTTTGGACACACTGATGGACATGATTGGACTCGAAAGCGTCAAGGACAGCCTTCTTGCCATCAAGGCCAAGGTGGATGTGGTCGTTCGGCAGGGGGCAAGTCTGTCTGACGAGCGGTTCGGGGCAGCTCTCCTTGGCAACCCGGGAACAGGTTCGTGTAGTATCTTGGACCCGATCTTTCCAACCACTGACTATGGCCTCTAGGTAAAACTACCGTGGCGCGTCTGTATGCCGAATTCCTTGGCTCTGTTGGGGTCATCCCGGGAAGCTTCTTCGACGAGACATCGGGTTCGAAACTCGCCAACGCCGGCATTGCCGGGTGCCAAAAACATCTCAACCAAATAAAGTCGAAAGGTGGAGGAGCTTTGTTTATAGACGAGGCTTATCAGTTAACCTCCGGCAACAATGCAGGGGGTAGCTCGGTTCTTGATTTCCTGTTGGCAGAAGTGGAGAATTTGACAGGCAAGGTCATATTCATTCTTGCTGGATACAATAAGAATATGGAGAGCTTCTTTGCCCACAATCCCGGTATTCCTAGCAGGTTCCCTATAGAACTGCAGTTCCAGGACTATTCGGATGAGGAACTGCGTACAATTCTCCATCATCACATGAACAAGAAATATAAGGAACGAATGAGGGTGGAGGATGGGCCGGATGGACTGTACATGCGCATTGTCGCACGGCGTGTCGGTCGCGGCCGCGGTCGTGAGGGGTTTGGGAACGCTCGTAGCGTGCACAATGCCTTCGCGCGTATCACAGAGCGTCAGGCCAAACGACTACAACGAGAACGGAGATTGAAGAAGCCCACCGATGATCTGCTTCTGACAAAGGAGGACCTTCTCGGTCCGGATCCGCGCACAGTGCTTAAGAAGAACGCCACTTGGGACAAGCTGCAAGCATTAACAGGTCTCCGCCAGGTGAAGCAATCGGTCCAAGCCTTATTCGACACGGTTTCCTTTAACTACCAACGCGAGCTGGAGGAGAAGCCCATGGTGGAGTTCTCGCTTAATAAGGTCTTCGTCGGGAATCCAGGCACCGGTAAGACTACAGTCGCAAAACTGTACGGGAAGCTCCTAGCTGAGATGGGATATCTTTCAAACGGAGAAGGTAATTTTCCACCCGCTGCCTGTCTATCTATAGCTATTAGATCCCGTTTGTTGACACTGGTCGCTCCGTTAGTCGTCGTCAAAAACCCATCTGACTTCGTTGGCAACGTCATTGGGGGCTCGGAGGCCGCTACGAAGGGCATCTTGGCCTCCACCCTTGGTAAGGTTCTAGTCATCGACGAAGCGTACATGCTAGGGGGCACGTCCTCATCTTCAGATGGGGGTACTAATCCGGATATATTCAAGACGGCGGTCATCGACACCTTGGTTGCAGAAGTACAAAGCGTCCCCGGTGACGATCGCTGTGTCCTGCTTCTGGGATACAGGGATGCGATGGAAAGGATGTTCCAGACAGTCAATGAAGGCCTCTCGCGACGTTTCCCTATGAGCGCCGCATTTGACTTCGAGGATTTCACCGATGATGATCTCCAAGACATACTGAATCTCAAGCTTAAGGGACTTCATTTTAGCGCGACTGCAGAGGCAAAATCAGTCGTTCGCCAATGTCTTAGTCGTGCCCGAAACAGACCGAATTTTGGCAATGCTGGCGAGGTGGATATCCTTCTTGACAAGGCTAAACTACGCCACCAGCAGCGACTGTCCGCGCGAAAGACTAGGAATATTGACATTCTAGAGCCACTGGACTTCGATCCTGATTTTGACCGAGAACAGAATGCGGTCGCTAACTGTCGGAAGCTGTTTCACGGCGTAGTGGGTTGTGAGCAGCTTGTTGCGCAGCTGGAGGGCTACCAGAATGTGGCTAGGAACATGAAAAGACTCGGATTGGATTCTCGGGAAAAGATTCCTTTCAACTTCCTCTTTCGCGGGCCCCCAGGTATGCACATATTCGATCATCTTCTGGCAGAGGTCTGCTTTGACTGACAGCTATTTAGGGTCTGGCAAGACTTCAACCGCACGCCGTATGGGACAGGTCTTTTATGACATGGGTATTCTCGGGGCGTCCGAAGTAGTAGAGTGCTCATCATCAGATCTTGTCGCACAATATGTGGGCCAGACCGGCCCAAAAACCGAGAGGCTTCTCGAAAAGGGACTAGGTCGGGTTCTCTTCATCGACGAGGCGTACCGGCTCGCGGACGGCACATTTGGGAAAGAGGCCATGGACCAGCTGGTGGATTGTTTGACAAAGGAGAAATTCTTCAAAAGGCTGATTGTTATCCTGGCCGGGTATGACGAGGACATCAATCGCCTTATGGCATCGAACCCCGGCCTCACCAGTCGTTTCTCGGAGACAGTCACGTTCAAGAACTTGTCTCCCTCTCAATGTTGGGTACTCCTGCGGGACAGTCTGGGACAGGTCCACCAAGTAGATCACGCTGTTGTTCGGCAGCCTGATGGTCAATTTCACGCGCGGATCTTGGCGTCCTTTGAACACCTATCCACTCTTCCTGGCTGGGGGAACGGTCGGGATGTGAAAACCATCTCGGACACCATTATTAGGAGAGTCTTTTCGTGCCCTTTAGATGAAGGCCAGACACAGATGGTGATCACTGAAGAAATGGTCAGTGCAGTTCTCCAGTCCACAGTTCAGGAGCGCCAGCTGCGGGCGACGGCGACCGTCCCGAATCTGCCGACTTCCCTCGCTGCCATGCCAGCGATGGCTGGACCGCACCACGCGGCACCCTCCTTCATAGCTGCTTCATGGGCAAAACAACAAGATAACCCGTCGACACCACCAGACACTGACTCAGATGCCGCAACTTCAACAGAGGCTGACTTGAATGGGCCTCGCGATCCAGGGGTATCTAACGAGGTTTGGGACCAACTGCAAGCTGATCGAAAACAACACGACGCGCAAATCATGCATGATGCGGAGATCATTAATGAGGAAAAGGTTTTGCGAAAGAAACTGGACAACAACTCAGAGATGCCAGACGATGACGAGCGACGTCAATATGAAGAACTTATTAGGAGTCTTGTTCGGCAAATGTTTGAGATCGAGGAGCGAAAGAAGAAGGAGGAAGAAGCACAGAGGAAACTGCGGGAAATGGGTGTCTGTCCTATGGGATATCGTTGGATTCCACAGGCCACAGGCTACCGGTGTGCAGGTGGGAGTCATTTTGTCTCTTCGGCACAGCTGGGCTTGTAATTCCATACGGGTCGCCAGAATATCTGTCTCCTAGTATATGCGCAATGCGAATGTCATTCCCTGATTCCCTGATGAGGCGGGGCTTAGACAAGATGAGTTTCTAGTTGTTCGCGACCGAAAAAAGCATACACACCAAATCATACTGCTACGGTCTCGGCGTACGCAAATATTCCAATATCAACGAAGATGTAGGACATTCTTTGATTGCGTTGGCGATAAATTATATTTTCCGCGCATCTTCCCATTGGAATGCTTACCAGCTGGCACGTAACCATAATTATGGCCGCTTGACGATATCGGCTAGTTACTCCTGATCAACAAAGGAACCTAAATAAGAATATTCCTGTTTAATCCTGGGTACTTTTACGGTGGCCTGTCCATCTTAGAGGTCCAAATATGAATTAACTGCGCTCATACAGTCCCGATTCGGTCTCCTCAGCGTGTCTCCCGCGTCCTCATCATGGTACTCTTTACCAAAGACTTACTCCACTACACTATCTCCGTTAATGACATCTCCCAAGACGATTTCAACGTCCTCATTTAGGAATGGAACATCACCGCAAACCCCAACAATCACGGTGAGCCGTACTCCAGGATTGCTGATCCCAAGTCCAGACACAACGCTATAGCTCTTCCTTTGCCTATTTATGGTTTCCATGCTGGCCAATTCGACTTTGACCGCGTCAGACTGGCTGGGGAATACGCAAATAGCATTCATTACTTGAAGCTTTCTTGGCGTGTGTGGGCGCATATTGCTATTAACCAAACCGTGATGAGTAGAGAACTTAGAGCCTCCTGCAATAACATACATTGCCAATATGAAACTCTTCTGAGGTGAAGGTTCCAGATTAGGGCTACTACTTAACAAAATCCTGTAGCAATGGATAAGAAGAAAGCCAATGTTAAATCATTTTATTCCCTACTTACTATCCCCATGGAGATGCATGCTGCATCAAGTTGAACATAGATATATCCTCGATAACAAGAGCAGCTTTCTACTGACGTGAAACTACTTGGTAACTTTTCTGTTGCCGATCGTGTACTCCGTAGAAGTGGTAGTAAGGTAAGTCGCTACTTGTATTAGTAGTCTTGGGTTTTTAGAAATGTGTCATTATTGTGAGCATATAGCTGCTGGCCGGAGGTTTGCTGAGCGTCAAGTTAGAGCCCATATTGAATTGTCGATGCTATCTAAAGTGCCTGTTGTAATGGTCGGACATGTTACGTGGGGCGGGGTGTCAGGATTACTAAGATAGACAAAAAATCAGATGTACTCCAACTGCTTTACCCCAACAAAAGCTAAGGGATACTAACTTACCCCAAAAGCATGAAGTCATGATGTAAATTGTTGTACTTTTATTATGATAGCTTATGTAAAGCCCTACGTGACCTATTTCCTTGGTAAGAAAGCCATAGTCAAAAGCCAAATACTAAAAGTAACATCACGCTTCTTTAACGCTGTATCATACCCACTCCAACAGCTTGGAGACACGCTGAAAACGGGTCCTACTATTACTATGACACCCCAATAAATTCCTTCTCTTCATCAATCCTCATAGTAAAAAATCATGATAGAAATATAATTTTAATACATCATTATGATACTCTAAATCGATACTATCTCTACCCCAACAACATGGAGTCATGATGAAAACAATTGCTATGACTACTACGACGCCGTCATCTCCAGTAGACAGTTTTTGATGTATATATTCTTATCACCATTCACCATCGAAAGAACCCCGCAGTGACCTAGGTTAAATTATCAACATAATCAATTCTCTGCAGTTATATCCTTCTGAAAGTCCAGACTCTGGTTCTCTCACCGTCTGCTCCCCCTTCATCGCTATGTCAAGCAATTTCCTCGGCAACCTCAATCAGGTATGCATTGCCACACCGAATTTCAAAAAGACCCTCGACGAGCTAGGTACAGTCGGCATGGGACCTTTCCAGATATATCACTTCAATTCCAAAACCGTTTCGGATCAGAAGTATTACGAGCATACAGGGGCCGATTTATATGAGATAGACGTGGCCTTTGCGTATAACCCCGATCCAAAGGCTCCAGTTATCGAGGTTATGCACCACAAAAAGGGAATGTCTGTTATTAAAGATTACCTGGACAAGCACAACAACAAAGAGGGAGTGCAAAGCATTGCTTATACCATGGGCACCTCGACAATGGATCAGCGCATTGAAGAAATGAAGAAAAAAGGCTACAAGCCTGCTACGTCAGGCTACTTCATTGGCAAAAAGGGCGGAACGAAATTCTGCTTCTTTGATACCGCCGACAATGACCGCGTTCCAACTTGCTTCGAGACGATCGAGTGGTCGAGTGATTGGGTAGCGCCAGACCCTGAGTGGTACCCAAATAAGCCATCAGAGGCATAGACGGTATGAACATTCGGATTGTGTATCCCAGGCTTGCCGTAACAAGGACAGATCCTGTATTTTCGATATCTTCTGTGGTGTACAATGTGGCAAATATCTTTGTAGGCTTTCTTTCCTCGGGGGTCTTATTGCAGACTTTTGCACCTATACACGGAGACCATCCCGGGATGTTGGCGTAAAAGATAGAATCATGATCTTATGTTGATGCTTACACAAGAACTTGCCGCTTCCATCTCGTTAGTAGGAATACTGATGATCTGGGCCGCCAGTACGGTGGCAAGATCCTAGGTAGAGTTGTACTCGAGAATGATACTACAAGTAGGAACCCTGGATCTCTTCGAACCGATTTGGCAGCAGATGGTTCTCTTGCATTTTGTGGGGGTGCTTTGTATTGATGAAAGAAGCTACCAGAAACCGAAAATGACTCGGCTTTATATATTGGGTTGTACTAACGATCTACTCATCACCATATGAAGTGTGACAAGAGAAAAGCATGATGATGGATGTAACTATGTGCAGGAAGTTGGAAAGCGTCAGTAGATTATTCTTGAAATGAGTTGGAAAGGCTGACCGCTCGTCTGCCCCCAGGGAGAAGAATATTTTCACCAAGTGTATGCTTTTATAATATCTCCGCAGGTCTGCACGGAAGAGGTTGAAGCGAGTGTCTTAGGCTTGGTTGAACCTCGAGTCGTACAGGATTGTCCTTCTGTCGAGTATGCACGGGCTTTAGTATCTTCGATATTTTAAGCCCTTCCGTCACCTTCATTTATAGACGCCGGTATTTACTTGTGGTAAATCCTAGATGTGTCCATATAAGTCTAAGATTTATATATACCAATGAATGCCTATAAAGAAAGCAGTATCTCGCGGATCTGGCACGGACCAATCTTAGAAGCATGAGTTCCCTTGAAGCAGATATAACCCAGTCTGGTCAGCCACGGACCCAGTATGCTGTCTTGAAGTAGCGCTGCGCTCTCAGGACATCATTCCTGTAAGGCTTCAGCTATATACGGCGGGAAATCGCGACCAATTCAATGAGCACCGACTTGTACTTAAACTCCCCTGATAAGTTAGCCTTTGTATCGACAAAGCATAAAGTAGTACCGGCTATTCCGTACTGTAGGGAATGTTCATAGAGGTATTAAGATGATCACTGCGTTCTACTCACTTGACTATATATATATCAAATAGCAGTAAACCTTTTTCTTTATCCTTTTTCCTTCTTTGTTTCCCCCCTTCCTTTCCTTCTGTTTTTTTCTTTTTTTTTTTTTTTTTTTTTTTTTTGGGGGCTAAAACTTCATTCTGATCTTTGAATGGGAGGGATTGGCCGTGTACCGAATGCCTACAGTACAGAAGGATAGCCGACCGGTAAAGCCACTGTCAAAGTTATTCAACCGTGAGTAGGTTGAACATCAGAATCCCTCCTGATACTAGGGTTTCAGCCTTAAGCAGCAATTATGTACTCCGTATTATGTATTATGTGGTCCAATGTCAAGCTTCAGTACGGGCGGGATTGGACAAGAGGAGAAGAGAGAAAAGGAAAGGAAGACAGGTCATTGGCGGGAACTCCGAGGGCTTCGAACTGGCTTCGGACAAACTCGCTCGCCGCGCTGCAACTTGGTTGAGTTAATCCGATTCCGTTGCTTACCCCTGGACCCTCAGAATCAAGACCTCTGGCGAATCTAGCAGCGAACGCCGGGGTTTAAATCAACAACGTGCAGTTCATCATCAGATTGACCTATGCCACTCACTGCAGTTCACTTTTGCCGCACTGCTGTCTCCATGCCTGTCAACCTGGCACTTGGACAAGGCAGCGATTTCTGACTTGCCACAAGGCGGGTGGAGCTGGCTGTAGAACAATCCTTGCTACTATCCATCGACTACAGAAATTCACACTTGCTATATCATCCTAGTATAGTGTAACTAGTGACCGTGGCGGTAACTATTTATCCCGTACTGCCATCACCATACGTCGTGCTGGTAGTCCCTTTCTCTATAGTAATAGGTACTTTATATATCTCGCCACACTCATTCAACACCATTATTGCATCCCAACTACTTTTGTCAGTAGGGACATTCATTACCATGATGCCGCCACCTAAACCCCGCCAGATTAAAAGGCCCCGATTATCATTGAGTTGCATTGTCTGCCGTCGTCGCAAAGTTCGCTGCGGCCGCGAACATCCGCAATGCGTCAACTGTGTCCGGATGAAGGAGAATTGTGTCTACGAGAATCTGGTCCGCGATAAGTTTACCGGTCGTGTACGCCGAGTGTCTCCTCCTGTGCCCCAGGGTGAGGATTCCATTGAACAGGAATCCATTGCCAATCATTCGGAGGAGCGAACAGGAAGTTCTACCTGGTCACGCTGCGTGTCACAAGACTCTGGAAAGGTGATAGATCTCAGCGATGAGGCTCCCCTTCCGCGTGGCACCGTTTCTTCCACTGCTCCTCCTCCTCACACACACCCTACCGAACCCATATGCGATGTTAGATCTGTTCCTCATCAACGCCTTTCTTCCTCCATACTCACCCCAGCACCACGATCAAGCCAACAGGAGGTTGATTTGCAATATCCGACAATGCCTTCCTCGGAAGAGGCCATCCAGCTGCCCGAGGACCATCAGGCCTTTGCTAGGGCAGGAAGGAGCAGGACGCCAAGTGCCTCCCAGGATGCCATCACTGCGGTGTCAGCATCCGCTACAGCGCCCAGTGCCTCTAACAATCACCACTATCTTGTTAGTCTTGACTATCTGAGTGTACGACGGGGCGCACGTGCACGGTACATTGGTCAAGCATTTTGGGGATTTGTGGCAGGGAAAGTTAGTACTGCCCAGCGATGTAAGCGGAAATCCGGCGGACAAGCATGAACTGACCTTGATTGTTGTGCTACCGGCAGGAATCTATGAGTGATGATTTCTTTGACTGCAATCGTGATGCTTCACCGGAACGGCCCCTCAAACATATATCCTCCTTGGGGATGTTCAGTTTACTACGGTCCCTACCTACGAAGCCCGTGAGCGATACCTTCCTCGATGCATTCTTCTTCGCGGTGTGGCCTCTTTTCCCTCTGGTGCATAGCCCAACCCTACGGGCGGACTACGACAGATTTTGGGATTGGTGCCGCAATAGCGATAGGGCGCTTCCCCCAGAAAAAGTCCGCGATGACCCAACCTTTCTCTGCCTTCTCTTTGCCATCCTGTATTCTGGCGCGTGCGCTGCACCACCGGCCAGCTGGACATGCGCCAGTCTGCAGAGTTTGCGGAGGGAAACGACGATAGCCCACTTGAAGTCGGCCTATACGACAAGCATGTCTCTATGCCAGCATCTCGAACATCCAACATTGAACACGCTAGTGTCTACGCTGCTGACTGCACCATTCTTGGACCGACATGTTGAGCCAATGCGCAATATGGTCTCTATCAGCACAACAATTCGCATTGCCCAGAGCATGGGATTGCATATGGAAGGATCTTGGTCATCCTCATTGAGCCCCGTTGATCAGGAAATCCGTCGTCGGGTATGGTGGTATATTATTGGGCTTGACGTCCAGTCTAGCATATGCACAGGCCTACCCCCTTGTTGCGCTCCCGAGACGCTGGACATCGTCAGCATGATAGCTGATACACGCGATGAAGATATTAGTGACAAGTCTAGTCATTTTTCCCCGGATCTAGTCCCCGGTCCAGCGGAACAGTCCATAGCCATTATACTCGCCATAGCGCGATCTGTAACAGCGCGTGTGCAGTCAAAGATCGTTTCGCGCCTGCAAAATGGACGACACCTAACCCAGACCGAATTTACTGAACTTGTGATGCTGGTGAAAGGTCTTCAACAGAAGATCGATAAACTTATTGCCCGTGTTCCTTCACAAGGAATTCCTGAAAAGGGATTCATTCCCTCCCGGCTAGCCAAAGCATCTCCGATCACACACCGAACACTTTATAAAGATGATGGCACTCATCCTACTGTTTTCGCGGCTTGGACAAGAATAATGCTGATATTGATCAAATTTGAGACAGCTGTAATTCTACAAAAGCCGTTCTTACCTGCCCCGGACAGTGCGGATCCGGAATCATGCAGGGCATGGACCAGGTATGATTCCCTGATACCATTACGATCTGGTCCGACAGTTGTATTGACAATCAATGTATCTCCAGTGTAGCACACCTCTGCGTGAGCTACTTGCGTATGTTCCTGCAGCTCTATCAAACCCCTGCCTACTCCCCTTACGTATGGTTTTGCTACCGATATCACGGCCCTCTTCAATGTGTGTTTCTTATCCTCGTCTACCTACATTGCTTTCCGGAATCAGGAGACATCGTGCTGGCTCGATATTGCATCGAAGAAATTATCGACCACACTGTTTCATACTACCAAGATCCGCAAGGTTCGTCCGGAGTACCTCGTGCGGACAACCCGGACTGTGGTGAGGGTTCATCAGAGGCGCGAATTCCTCTCGCTATACAGGTTCTCGTTGACCTTAAGAGTCGTCTGGATTCACAAATGAAATCCGATACCCGATTCATTGACAAGCTGGACGAAAACAAATGTCGGCTTTCCCCATACGCCCTTGAACCTGGAAGTCGGAGTACTGAGAAGGACACAGTGAACAAGAGCATCTTTCCTCTGCCATATTCATCGTTTTCGTCATCCACAATCCACATCCATTGCAATGAAAGGGCCCCGTCTACGGCTACTGCACCCCAAACGCCTTCTGGCACCAGGCCTGGACCAACGAGTAGCATATTTGTCGCAGAAGACGACAATGGCTTGGACCTGGACGTTCTTACCAGTCTCACTGATTTCGAGTCATGGTCATCCTCGTTGGCTAGACCCAAATGATACCCTAGCACATCCGAACACAATCGCTCCACACCGTTTAATTGTGCTAGGAGTGGAAGTATCTCACAGTCGTCCCCTCTAGATATGAAGATACTGCTTAGCTGGCTAGTAATATCATGTTGATCACCTTACAATTACCCCGCACTTAAATTTTTAAATCCTTGATCTCTCTTTTTCCTTGCGCCACAACGGCGAAACTGAAGCTACCACGCCAATGGAATGAAGAATACAAAGCATTAAGTCAACGTTCCGCTATCATACCTGCGATGTGAATATTAAGCAATGGGACCTTGTGAGCTGGAATGATGTCTGGAAGTACTGATGGATATGAATGTCATACTAGCAGATGTAGCTTTGGAGAATGCCATGTTGACACAGCAAGGAAAGAGCTAGCTACTTCGCATTCGTCATATATTGGACAGATAATAAATTGATACAAAAGGTCCAAGCCTTGATATTGGCAGAAGAAACAACGCTATTGACCCCATGCATATTCTAGCGTCAGTTACTGCAAATCAACCCAACGAACCTTCAACCCCATTGCATAAATCGACCGATCATCGTTTGCTAAAGATATCAAAGCGAAAGAAATTTCAACGCAGCGACTGGAACGGGATATCTTGACGGGAGCCTCTAGATTGGTCGCTTGAATAGCTGCTTACGTTTCACGTCGGGTTAGACCTTCTCTCCTTATGTTGTCACCCGTTACTTCAAGCATCTGCCAGGCAACTCCTACAGCAGCAAAGCTGCACCAAGAAAATGAAGAGTAGTCATAACCTCAGGTGAATACGAGCAGGCTCATAGAAGCGGTTTCAGTGAATGCTGGCACGAGTGTGGTATGAAACGCTTGTGGAGTCGCATATTGAGAGAGAACGTCGGATTCGGCCCGGGCAATTTCTCTAAGAACAGTATCTGTATGAGTAGCTAATCTCGGCGCAACAATGCATTTATATAGTCACGGGCAGACAAGGAAACCCTCAGTGTAGCCGGTGGTCAGATCTGTGTTGATGGGGATGGGATTGCCACTTTCATCCTGCACTGGCTCAAATTTAAATACCCAAAGAAGCTTTGCAGCGCCGAAAAACATGTTATATTTGAACAAATAGATTCTTGGACACAAGCGTCGTCCGGCTCCGTAGATATAATGATCACGCTGCATGTACTCAGAGGAGGCGGTATAGTCAAATGCCAGCTTATGCCGGCCCTTGAATCATTAAAAGTTAAACTGGTCAGGTTTTGGAAAGACATTTCTGTCATGCTGTAGGCCCCAGATGTTCAGAAAAACTGTGGTTCTCTTTGGGAGGAAGTAACCATTCACTCAGTTATCCTGGCTGAGGGCGTGCGGAAAAGCCAAAGATGTGACGGGTCGCCAGCGCATTCTTTCTTTAAGGATCATGTTAATATAAGGCAGACGAGGAAAGTCCCCCCAGCTTGGGGATTAATGTTCTCCACAGACTGCATTAAGTTTAGCTTGTGCTCGCCTTTGAATCTCAGGATGGAGTATTAACACTTAGATCATGACTAGAAGTATTATAAGACCGGTATCCGAACCTCCCTCCATCATAACACCACCCAGGAAGTCAACTTGGTTATCCGTAGAGACCAAGCTTCTCCTGCAGATAGAGGACGTCGTTGAGGAAGCTGCGGGCTCGATACTGGGAGTCGCTCTCTGCTCTACGACGCGCCTCGATGGCCCGTCGGTGGAACGAACTATACAGCCGCTTCATACCACGTGCCACAGCCTGTGAGCAATCAACCCAGTGGCTGAGCCATTGCTGTGGCACCCAGTACAGCCAGGGCAATATGTCCACTAGTGGGGTAGCACCTGTCTCCATGATCTGGGACCAGAGCTTCATTATTTCATATAGTTCTTGCACATGTGGTGTGTCCCAAGACGGGGTACGAATACCGAAAAGCAAACTCATTATAATGCTATTATTTTGCGCTTCGTATGCTTCTCAGGATGCAGAAGGAAGTCGCGCATCATCTGTGTATGCTCAGCCTCCAGCAGGTGGACATGCGTCTTTTCGCACATAGAAGCCGAGAAATGCTGATTTATGGTTTTGCGGAATAGATGCCAATTGTCGCTATTGTCCATGGCTATGAGATGGTCACCACGGCTAATTATGCTCTGTCCAACGTGTGAGGCTGGACGTGAGCTGTACAGCGCGCTCCATTTGTCGAACAGCTCCTTGACCAGAGCACGGTCTGTAATCACCGCGGCCGTCGCCGGACAAATATGGAGGCTGTATAGACCTTCATATGTCTTGGCCACTCTATGAATCTGTTCCTGTCAGATACCGCTTTGCCTTTTCTAGATTTGATACTTACTTGAGATGCGCGCGAACTTTGGGTGATTGGAGAATGTTCCCAATGGACGGGGCACCGGGGGGACCTGTCTCACATTAGACTCTTGTACGTGTGTATATAATGATTGCTATTATCAGGGTTTATAGAATGGTGATAGAAGGGTTCCACATATGTCAGCTCATACCAGGCGGTAGCTTTCGCTGTAGTCTCCAACTATCGAAGGTGGCGCGGAGAACTACCAGCAAAAGCGCACATGTGGCTAATGCAGTCAGTTGAACAAGCGCCTTTCTGCTGAATAATCACTAAGGATTGACTCAACAAGTTTGGATGTCTGCTCATCACCGCTGAGGTGAAATGACAGAAATGAAAACGGGTGGGCGAGGGGCAATTATCTGTGCCAATTGCCAGCCCGTTCGATCGGCCAAAAAAAAAGGGGAAAACAATAGATAGACAATTAGAAACAGCAATTCAATATTTCACATACAGAAACTACGTTTAGCTGTTAAGTAACTACTATACGAAGACAGAACAGATGTACAGACTACAAACTCACCGAACCAACGGGGAAGCAATAAGCAGACGGAAAAAAGACATCAATCTTGTTCTTCGCAACACATTCAGTGGGCATTCGGAGTTGCGGAAGAGGTTTCGCAGCCGAAACACCTGCAATAACCTTTTGCACCTCCGCGTCCTTAGTCAAGATCACTTCCATCATCCGCAGAAATTGTTGTTGATAGCCAGCAATGCATAGGGGAAATCACCACCATATAACACATGTCCTCTCTTCGCAAACCCGTTCCTCTTCACCAGTGACTGCATGTGCCATTCATTGCCACAGCATCATATGAAACTAGAAGCTTCTAGCTTTTTCATAAAGTTTCAGGGTTACATTATTCAATTTAGCTTCAAAAAGAAGATTTGCTGCGCGTGTCACAAGGATAGGCAATGTTCCGCCGCGATAATGAACATTACAGTACCACTCGTACTGGTCGGCGAATGGCAGAGACACGGGAAGATACAAAGACCACGGCAACTGTCGAGGGGAATAAAGAAACAAGAAGAGGCTCCAAGGAGGCAAAGTGGTATCCAAAGGGTTTCGAAAAAGCAGCAGCAACATGGTGCGACGTCATGGAATGTTAACCAGTTCAGTCTAGTGAAACTGGGGAGGAAGAGTGGTCAACTTGCTCAGTTCGGTGACTGTTTCTTCCCAAAGCTTGGTTTGAATCTCCTGACCCATTGGAGAGGTAACGATTGCAGGTTTACTGAAAGAGAAGTCAAGTCAGGTGGTGGAGCCTATGGTAGACTAAGCAGAAGCAGGACTTACTCGGTGATGACCTTATCCGCCAAAAACTTCCCATGGGACTCTTGGCCTGCTACGAGCGCAGCGTTCAGGATAACCCAACCCCCTACCTCAACGGGTCGGGCGCGAATAGCCTTGATGACGTTGAAAAACAAGCGCAGGTGCAGTGGAAGCATGTTGCTCATCCCAGTGTTTACCATAGCCGGACACATCATATTAATGATGACCTTTTTGGGGTCCAGGCGCGGAGCCAAACTGTACATGAACAGTACACAGAGTAACTTGGTGTCATTATACCGTTGAAAAGGAGCAAAGGCTTCCTCCTTGTCCATATGCTCCAAAACCCCCTCGTCGGCTTCAATGGGGGCCTTTTTCTCGAAACTGGGTGACTCGTGCGAGCGACTGCCTACCCAGCTGATCCGGGCAGGGGAGCCGGTCTGCTTCGCACCAGCTTCCAGGTGAGGAAGAAGCTCGGCAACCAGCAGCGCGTTGGAGCAGTAGTTCACTTGGGTCACCCTCTCGTGGCCACTTGGGCTACGTTCGAAGTTTAAAGAAGCAACTCCCGCATTAAGGATGAGGAGATCAACCACCGGAACCTCTTCGCGGAGAGTTTTTGCGAATTGCTGCACGCTATCATAGCGATCCATGTCAAGCTCCATGACCTTCATGGTGGGCTTTGGGTTGTGGGCTTGAATGCTGCGGTCTTGCAGCAGCGATTCGATGCAAGCTTCGCCTTTGGAGACATTGCGCACGGCGAGGATGGCGATGGAGAGGCGCAAGCGCAAAAGCTGCTTGGTGACTTCAAGACCCATACCTGCACTAGCACCAGTGATAACCGCGGTCTTGCCAGTCAGGTCAATTCCTGTAGGCAAGGGATCGATCTTTGGCTGTGGCTGAAAGAACTTGACCATCGTGGTTGTAGCGACGGCCGGTAGTAGCCCTAGGACGGATACAAGATAATAGTTGGATGCGACGGGCAAAGAGTATATGGTACAGCCGAAAGCGGGAGAGGCGAGAACAATGAAAAGAGAAACCACCAAAAAGATAGATGCTAACAGACAAGAGGATATCACAGCTGCCCCTGAAAGGAGACCCAGCTGGGACTGAGGGTTGTTAATATAGCTATTACATGTCACGCTCTCCCTTGTTTACCTGGGTTGGCACTGCAGGGCTGACAAACTATAGCTGAGTCAGCTATGTATGACTCAGCATTCGGCCGATGAATGTCCCAAAGCGGCAAAGTGACACGGGCTCATCTGGATCTCGTCCGACGATCGGTTTGTCATTTCGCTTTACAGTTCAAGTTCGGCCCAACTCGGCCCAAAAGGAACAAAAGGAATGATATGGTTTCCATTTGCTTCATCACATCCGCGCATTCTGACGGGGAACACTGCATTTCGACCTATCCTCAACATGTACTATTTCCGTAAACCACACTGTTACGAAGTCAATCCCCAAGTGTGGACTTACTATATGGCGTTCTTTCAGCGTCTTGCAATGCCTCCGTCTTCCCTGTCACATAGTTTACTCTCATGTCTGGAGTGGAGCCTGGATATGATACTTCCTTATTATTTGTATCAGTAGAAAGCTCTCAGATGACAGAAGAGATGGATGGAGCTGGAACAAATTCTCGGGGCCACAATGCATACTAAATAGGTTACATATACGGCGATAAAAGGGTGGGTGGTACGAGTTTGTGTTAGAATATATTTGAAGTTCAGACCACGAGGCTCTGTAGCAACATCAACCCGAGCCATCGGATGAAAGTTTGGCTCATCAACATATGTTTCCATGCCTATCTAGCTATTACCTGAGTCTGCTGTGTACAATTGATTTTGTTCCCTCATGAAGATCTAATCAGAAATTACGTAGAGCTCTATTAGGAAAGCAAAAATGAAGGTCGAAAAAAGAGTTCAAAAAGGGAATGGGGCAAGCCGGGCTTGAACCGGCCACCTCCAGATCTTCAGTCTGACGCGCTCCCAGATGCGCCATTGCCCCAATGATTACGTCATGATGGATAAGATATGACCTCTATTGTTATTCATCGTTATTCAAGATCTTGCTCAACGCTTCAAAGACAGCATGACACCCAGTATTAAAGAGTCGGTACTATAGATCCAGTATGTTTTTTACGCCCAGTCACTGCGGGACATCACTTCTTCCGCTTATGCCCCGGGCTGAAGTCAACGGATGATGTTCATGAACTCGCTGCCATGGAAAGCTCACCCGATCCCATTGAATTCGCGTGAACCAGACATTCATGCCTTCATAACTGCCTCGTAATCGATCACCTAATTTGACCTTTATTGAGAACCCACTTCTTCCTGTCATATATGGTAGATTAATTGCACCTCTTCATAGAGCTGCGGCTTACCTGTCTCCTACTTGACCCAATGGACTGACTCTATTTTTATATTACGTAGACAACTACATCGTCCCTCACAGCCGGAATATAAATGGCAAATATCCCCGTGCTGGCAGAGGGTGCACAGGACTCTCACCTTCGTACTTGGATTGGAAAACTAGATCCATTTATCGAGCATCTTGCTCACTATGGTTCCATTACTCACAAACAACCTCATTGCTCAGGAATGTTGCATCCACCGCGAAGCATTGAGTATCGCTGGTGATCTCGTATTCGCCGTACAATGACTCATCGGTGCAGCCCGTGGAGGTGTACATCTTCAAGATAGGTAATGTGCCAGCATCGCAGGAGCCAGAGTAGATGCGCACGGAGAAAGATTTGAGAGGGAGGCCGTTGGCAGGTCCACAGGCACCAGAGATGACGTTGGCGGCCTCAATGCTGGGGGAGACGCAGTCGGCGTAGTAGTAGCCGCTGAAGGCGACGTCAAGGGTGGCAGCAGCAGTGGCCACAAAAGTGGAAAGCGCAAGGATCTGACATGGTCAGGCTGGATTATCGGACATCGAAGGGAAGGGATGTTATTTACCTTGAACTGCATATTGAATGAGATTCGGGGGTTTGGGTCTCAAGAATCGTTGAAGTGTAAGTAGGTGGTGTGTTTGTCTGCCATGTTGCAGGGAAGCATCGCGACTTTATAGTTGCGATGGGATATAGGAGGTCATATCTATCTTTACAAGCTCCTAGTACTTCGTAGGACGGGGTGCCAAGACAGGGCTGATGCGTCTTTCACCACTCAGCTAGATCTTATCAGATCCATATTCCTATTCAGGAAGTCTACTCCTTCGACTGTTACTATCTCCGATCTATTGCCAAGTAAGCCTCCTCGTATTCCTCGCCCTTGCTAAACGACGCGGTGTTTGTGATGGCCCCCACTGGCGGATTCTTTTACGTAAACCCGTGGAAGTACGGAGGTTCGAGGAAAACTCTTGAAATCGGATTTAGGGTAAACAGAATTTGAGGATAAGTGATTAAACCAAGAGTTAATATTTCGAAGAATATTACATTCTTGATACTTAGATTTAAAGCCAAGATCTGCAGATATCATAGGCTTTATTTTCTGAAGACTGATAGGACGGTATCTCGGCCAGCTACTTATCCGTAGAGAATATGAAGGCTTCTGATAGGCCGAAGGTAAGATGATTCCCAAGAAGAACTACTTATTGCAATTTACATAGACGATGATATATAAAGCAGTGAATACAAACACATGCTAAGACACAGGACTTTTCTTGATTAAGAAGCTCATCCACATTAGACATTCCTTTGGGCCAGGTATTCGACACATCTGGCCACTCGACTAAAAGAAAACACAGGTTCGTTTTGTTTGACCAACCATTGACAACTCCAGAGACGGAAAGATTCCGACCCCATAAGATCTTTCCTGTAATGCTGTGTAACTCCATTGGAGGACTTTGTGAGCCTCAATTTCATACTACAACAACACAGGCTCTAGGCCCATTACATACGATATTGTATACACTGTACAGAGTGGAATCCGTGGCTATTCAGAGTCCCTGGCTATCACCAGATCGAAGTGTATAGAGTTACAGGCACGGTAGCCTGTCCTTTTACTGGAACCAGGGGACATGATACCCCAAAGAAGACCAGAGCCCTGCAGCGTATATTTAGCGTATAGAATGGCAGGTCTGACATGCTCTTTACAAAACAGGGTTAAGCTGACACCCGCAGTTGGAGGGTCGACTACACATAGACATGAAAGAAGCCATAATGAGAGGCTATTTCGCATTCCGCCTCAACTCTGCCAGATTCCGAAACAGGTCTGCCAACTTTCTCTGACTAGCTTTTGCAGATAGAAAAATAGAATAGACTCGATATACGAGCCCCCTGAGAAAATCCTCTAATAACTGGACTTCCAGACGAGAACTACACGCTGAGCCCCATCCGATTCTTCCGCACTCAGGGTAACGGCGGCGCCTTCGGTAGGCTCAGCGGCCGCATACCAGTACGGGCCGCCTCCCCCATTGTGTTCAACACCACCATCAGCTTCAAGGTTGCTTGGCTCTCCATGTAAGGGACATTATTAGTATCTAAGCCCGGTTGTGTAGATTACTCATGTACTTACAAAAGAATTGTAGCCCGTGCTAGACCAGTATTTGGCATCTCCAGCGTCCGAAGTCACAGCGATGTCTAACGCTTCGGTGAGAGTGTAGTAGTTCCCCTGTTGGGTAACCAGCTGACCCCCTCCACGGGCTATGACCCCGGCACAGGCAGAAACGTCCCACTGACCACTATTGGTGAGGCATCCAAGATACTCCACTCCATTTTCAGAGGCCACCTGAATGTACCCCTGGCCGGACGATTCTTGGGCCAGGGTGGGTGAATATAGAGCAACGCTTGCAGCCACAAGGGCGGTTGTAGAAATCGCATGGTGAAGGTAATGGACAAGGCGGTGTTGTGATGAGGCATTGATTGATCTGGCGGAATCAAACGATGAGCGGAGTTGCGTCACAATTTATAACTAGAAGATTTGCGCCTAATATGCCTGACCTCTGAATATTGCAATTTGTATGTAATAGTGCTGACCGGGGCATGTCTCTCGGACGGCTGGACCAAAATCCTGACCATGGCTATGTGATTCTATCCTTACAGTTTCCACTCTAATTGCAGATCTCGCGGATCTAACCGCCGCTGATCATCACCCCAGAGCGCTGAAACATTTTTTAGCTGTCATGTTCTGTTTCTGTCCATGCTGGCTCTTGTTTTCTATGGAAAAAATAATTCTCGTCGAATTTCTCGGTCTCATCATAACCAAAGTGATGGGGCCATGAAGTATTGTAGCTTTGAAGGTCGCCTTCCCAAAATGGTGAAAATGTCGGTCTCCATGTCCCCCCAAACCCACAGCATGCTGCGATCTCCGATCACATCATGAACGCGTGCATGAATAAAAGCTCACCTGTCCAGCCAAACCAGCTCTGCTAGCGTCTGGAGAATCAATGCATCAGCCATTCGGCCCATATTCAATTGCGCACTAGTTATTCGCCTGCAGGTATTGTGCGGAGGCAATGCATCGGCTCGGAGTATCCCTTTCAGAGCAGCAAAACAGGCGCACCTGGTCACAGGTTTTGCTCGGTGGCGTCCCGCAGAGAACTAATTGTCAAGATTAGCAATGTGAATTACAAATCTGATGGGAATTCTGAAGTGTGAAGGTCACGTAGGTCTCTGCGCTGTATACAGTCTAGCGGATACAGCTTATAATGCTATGGAACGCCGATCCCCCCTCTCAATCCTGTGCTTTAGCTTGAGCCAACTATAGCCGCTATGCCCAGACTCGGGGTCTACCGAAAAACGATCCCCAAATCTCAATTCATACGGGATCTCGGAGGTAACGACCATGGGCCATCATTCTCGTCATAACAAGACCTCTTTGAAGTAGATCGTCGTTCCTGTCGGCTGCGCGAGTTTGCATTCACGAATGCTTGATGTTTTGTAGCTCTATCGGGGCGTCGTGCATTCTGCACTAAGCTCATAGTGTGGCTGCAGAATAGGAAGATCGGGCATCGTTAATTACCCTTTCCCTACCTTTTGACTGGAAGTCTTGCTTTGAAAGTTTCGAAGGCAAAAAGCGTATCTTTTACCGGATCACTCGGCATGTAACCTTTCGAGCTGACTTCAGACCTTCCCTCTCAAAGTTGTAATGATTGCCGGTGAAAAGCGACGTGACAGGATCGTTGCCCCGCTTTTCATGCTTGGTTTCCTCGTGGTTCAAAAACCGCTGTGAGCTACGAAGCAGATGTTTGTGTATCCTCTATGCATCTGTGGGCCATTTGTGAGTTAGACTATAGATTCTTTCAATTGCGCTCGACACCTCTCTAAATGCAGGAGTTGAAGATCCATCGGAATCATTAAGGGTTACCTTGTTTGCCCACACTGTTAGGGAATACGAGCTGGAGTGAAGATTATGTATAAATTGATTCAATATCAATAGAAAAATGCCTCCGTGATTCTTTGTAGCAGTAAGGTCACCTCTCCTACTCACACCTCATACATCTGACACTATGGAGCCACCGATGATTGATAAAGCAAATAAGGAGGAAGTCATACGCCTGAGCAAGAAGACGTGATAAAACCTCAATAGATACTGAAGGATCTGTACGCGTGTCAACGGCATTCCAGACGCCTGGATCACCGCGAAGTAGCTGTTGGCCTGCATATCGTTGAGACCTCCATTGCTTATTCCCACTAGCATTTTGGCCAATGAACTCTCCAAACCCCACTGTTTAGTGATTTATGTAACACAGCTTTAACGCTACTGGCTAACTAGTAGACATCCTGCAGACACGGCTACATGATCTTCTCCGTGTCCATTAGGCTGATTGGCCTGTTAATCACTGAACAGACGTAGTTACCACTCGAGGTGCATTCCTTCCTCTGGCCGGTTTGTAGGGCACTCCGCTATGCGAGGGTCGGTTTGGAGTTCCATGCATAATAGTAGCAGGGATTCCATTTTTTATAAAGAAGGCCTCTTGTTAGCAGAAGAAACTTCTTGTCCTTATTATTTCAGTTCGTCCTTCCAAGCGTCAACGTCAACGACGGCGCATTCATCAGATATTTCCAGGATATTGGGCCTACTGGATGGCTGAGATATCAGATCCTGCACCCATGAAACCAAGTTCGAGCTGCGGGAGTTCGTTTGGGACAATCCAACGATCACTCTAGTCGAGGAGCTATGAATTCTTTGTTATCCGAAATGAACAGAAGGCGTTGAATATTAAGTACTTTATACTCACTACCTCACTGCATTAGCTTGCGTGGCGCTCGGCTACCCATTTTGGATGGCCTGAGCTCTCTGAAGAAACTATTTTTACATCTAGTCATATCTCGTTTGAGATGTATTAGAAGGAAGAAGATTCATCCTCTACTAGATGTTCTCAGTGCCTTCTAGGATTGAGTATGTTGCTCCAGTCATTGAAAGGCAACCAACATCAGGGTGCAAGAAATAAGAAAAGCAAAGCCATTACCACAATCCCAAATAACACCGTATCATATATGCACCAGTGAGCGAAGTTAACGCAGGTTATCATTCATAGCACATTTGTCTTCTTAGAACAGTAGTATATATTGATCTACTAGTTTAACTGCAGAGGCCTGGGATCAGTACACAGCCGTAGTCTAATTGCTGTCTATCCCAGGAGTATCTATGTCCCCGACTAAATGATCATCACATACTATGACTGCGCAACAGCCGACTCAAACAGCGCTTGCAGTCGTTTCCCTTCACTGTCCGCCAGCTCCTCGTAGGTGTGAGCAGTTCCGATTGGATGATATGGGAATGGACTGTGTACAATGTTAGGATGCTCAACAACCACGGATTAATCGCTACTCACCCGTACTCCGGAACCCATGTGATCCGGCAGTTAGGATCTCTTTGCTGTCTTGATTTGACGATTCGGAGCCACAGTTCCTCAAAGAATTGCCGCTCGGGAGCAAATGCAGGGTTTAGAGGCTCTGGGCACTGTGACGACTGCTGTGTTCCCATACGTGCATGGATATGGCCGACCTAATAGATATGTCAATCATTGATTCTGTACTGCTTCTATTCAAATGAGGGACCTGCTTACACGTGGGATCACACGGTCGAGGATCTCACGGTCTTCTTCGCCTTGATCTAGGAGTCTTTCGCAGACGACCACCCAATGTGAGATGTCGGCAGTGATACGTAACCTGCGTAATCAGTATCGGACTGGGGAAGACCCATAACTAGATTTACGTACTCTGGAACTCTCTGTAGAATGTAGTCGGCCGAATAAGGGTTGAAGAGAGATCTGTTTCGGTGCGTTTCGTGGCAGACTATGCCCTCGAAACCCTCTTCCTTTTCTACCTGAAGTGCTCTTTGGTAGAAGTAGACAGATTCATCAAAGCTCCAGTAGTCTCTGAGGAAGATAGCGAGTCAACATCTTCATCGTGGTATACCTGGAGTGGAGGGGACGTACGCTCCGGATTGTGCATTGATAACCACTGGCTTCAAGATGGTCGCTAGGCGAAGTTGTCCTCGGTAGAACTCGAGGTGAGCATCTGGGGTCAAGCCACGAGGGCGGGGGCCGACATATTTTGGCCATGCGGAGAAGAGGCTGCAAAGCAATCAGCTCAATTGCCGTTCCAATGGGCAGCTACTACATTATAGTCGAGATACTGACAGAATGCTAATTTCCAGGCCCACCTCATCACAGTTCTTGCGGAGAAGCTGCAGTTCCTCGGGTGTCATAAAAGCAAAATCAATCTCGATTCCAGCTGTTAGGATAACTCGTTAGTTTAGCCTTTGGGGGAATTGCAGTGCAGGCGCTAGCTTACCGTAGCCGTGAGCCTTGAACTCAACCAACTTCTTTCTCCATTCCGACTGCTCCGGACCGGGATCAATGCCCCAGAGGGATCTGAAACGCGAGATAACAACCATGACTGAGGATTACGAAGGTGCAAGCTCCTTAGGGATTTGGCTGGTCTCCTGAAGGGCACGCACGCAACAATTGCTTGCTTGCTTGCTACGAGCTTGTCTGGCAGGTTGCGAGGGGATAGCGGGGCTATAAATCGGGTGGATGTGGATGACAAAGAGCCGATCCATGACGCTTTGCTCTATCACCAAAGGCCATAATTCGGAGGACTCCGCAGATGTCGCCATCGTGATCTGCCCTTTGGAAGTGACTCTGAATTCCTTTGATGCTTTCCCAGCAGGAGATATCACCGATCGGGGAATTTAACCCGCCATGGCCGCTCCACTTTCCCCAATTGATGGCCGAGCGACTAGTCCCCTCCGGGTTAGCGTCGAGGATGTGCCCGCGGAGGAGTTCTCCTACTACGGCCATTTCCTTCCCGGTTGCCCAGAGAAGGACGGCTACAGCATCATGGATCACAACATCAACTTGCTCTGGCCATCTAAAGCCGGTTCAATGTTCGGCCTGGGAATTCTGTTCCGCACCCGGTCGGCATCGACAAGCCAGACGCGGTCCGCTGGTCTTTACGTCTCGCCCCTCCCCCACCTTTTCCCCCCACTCCTCATGACGTTCCCCTCACCCCACTCCTCGATTGATTTATACCCCCCATAAATATGTAGAATGGCCGGCATTTAGCAAACATCACTGCAATTACTATTGTCTTTGACGGATTTGTTTCATCAATCTGAGCAAAAATGGCAGTCCAATCCATGAAGGCATTGAACTATGTCGGGCCATTCACGGTCAAGGTGCAAGAGGTGGAGCGGCCCAAGCTGGAGCACCCCGATGACATTATCGTCAAGGTTACCAGTGTATGCTATGTAGACTAGCACGATTTCCGCCCAGTTACTGACAGCCATAACAGGCAGCCATCTGTGGTTCTGATCTGCAGTGAGTGCAATTGGGGAGTAGGGTAGAAGAGAGTTCGTACACAGATGTTGCTCACACATCCCCAGCATGTACGAAGGAAGGACGGCGGCAGAGCCAGGCATCACTTTTGGTACAATTAACCTTACTTTTGCATCTCTGCCCATTCTGACGTGGATGGAACAATCTAGGGCACGAGAATCTCGGTATTGTCGAAGAACTCGGGGAAGGAGTCACCCTACTGAAGAAGGGCGACCGTGTGGTCATGCCATTCAACGTCGCGGATGGTCGTTGTCGGAACTGTGAGGAAGGGAAGACAGCGTTTTGCACGGGTGTGAATCCTGGCTTTGCTGGTGGCGCATACGGTTCGTCTCTTCTGAGTGAGCGATGTGCGTGTCTTTGCGTTGACATTGAATCCCACAGGATACGTGGCTATGGGACCCTACCGCGGAGGTTTGTGTGGCCCCCTTACTGTCAGACAGATCCATGCTAACCGAGTGAACCAACAGGCCAGGCACAGTACCTGCGCGTCCCCTACGCTGACTTCAATGCTCTGAAGCTCCCACCAGGAACCGAACACGAAGCGGACTTTATTCTGCTGGCAGGTAGGTAGTCGATGCTCTCACTCTTGGGTGATCGGTTAACTAATAGGCATACCAGATATTTTCCCCACAGGTATACTCCACCGCCAACCCAGTTGATCCCCAACACCACGTCCGCTAATATGAGTAGGATGGCACGGCATCGAAATATCGGGCTTTCAGCCAGGTGACAGCGTAGCAGTCTTCGGGGCCGGCCCCGTTGGTCTCATGGCAGCATACTCCGCCCAGCTACGCGGTGCATCTCGTGTGTACGTGGTAGATCGGATCCCCGAACGATTGAGGGCAGCGGAACGGATCGGTGCCACCCCCATTGATTTTACCGCGGGCGATGCCGTCGATCAGATCATTGCACACAACGGAGATATGGTGGATCGGTCCGTGGATGCTGTTGGATACCAAGCTGTCGGTAAAGATAACTCGACCGAACAACCGAACATTGTGCTTGAAAACATGATTCGTGTGACCCGCGCGTGTGGTGGACTGGGTATTCCTGGACTTTATGTTCCTAGGTTCGTCACCTAGCATCGCACTACGACGGAGTATGTTGGCTGACGACTGACCAGTGACCCCGGTGCGGGTGATGCGTCGGCTGCGAAGGGGATGATTAGCCTCAGCTTTGGCAAGCTCTTCGAGAAGGTATAGTAGACGCCTGCTCTTTTGGGATAGGATTCACTGATGCTGACATTGTGAGCAGGGACTCTCCCTCGGCACGGGCCAGTGTAACGTCAAGGCCTACAACCGGCAGCTACGAGACCTGATCATTGCCGGCAAGGCGCGCCCCAGCTTCGTGGTGTCTCATGAGATTGGAATTGAAGAGGCAGAGACGGCATACGACAAATTCGACAAGCGTGTGGACGGCTATACCAAGGTTATCATTCATCCCAATGGCGGATTCCCCAGCAAGCGGCCACCGGCGGGTTCCTCGCTGTAGATTCCGTTGATGTCATGGTTTGTTGCAATTATAGTAGAGAAGAGTGTTGTTCATCGTTTAGCATATGTACAATTGATTAAAATTCCTCTCGAGTACATGGCGTATATTTCTTCCTCATAAAATGTTCTCGGGGGAATGGAGTCTGACACGGAATGTTTGTCCGCTCCACGCAGCGACAACTATTTCCCAATTGGGGTTGGATGGCCCTGCGGAGAAGACAACCCAGCTGGGAGCAAACGATAGTAGTCCGATGCAGGTGTCAACCCATTGGTATCATGGTGCATACTTGCACCAAGAATCCCTGTCCCTCGGTCGGCGGCCAATTGACCACTAGTAGCTACTAGTGCCCGCTTCCTCGACCAGCCACCGAATGTCACATTCGCAAAAGGAATGGCAGGCTCTGCGGACAGAGTAAACCTATACCCTACTGCTTGCATTGCAGGGGCATAAAACAGGAATGATTACGGGGAGTCGAATCTATATCTTGTCCCACGATAACATATTCTCTCATTTGTGAAAGGGGTATATTACACTCAACTATGGATCTCTAGGGGCGATACCTGTCTACTTGACATAGATTCGATCCGGCTGAAACATTATAGAGTATCAGCATTCACCATTTGACTGAACCTCTTCCATCCCGACGGAGTATTCCACGCTCGCAGCCAATACCCACCCTTCTGTGCACCTTTCAGCGTATATGCAGACGGCCACACTCCCTGTCGCAGGCTCCGAACAAGGGGGTGCACGAAGAGAACTCTGACCGGTTTGCTCTGATCGCATGCAGCTCCAGAAAAGTCGAGGCATGCGAAATCGAAACTTGTCCACGTGGTGATCATAACCATCGGCATCCTTCCGTTCGCGGGGATTTTCGGCAACATCCGTTGTGACGCATGATCCTCGCACACCCGCAGGAACGCCTTTATGGACGCCGGAGAGGTGTATCGCAAGCTGGCCAAACGGAGTTCACCCGCCAGCATGGCTACGGGCTCATTCTGGATCTGAGACACTGACAGCTTTTGCCGCATTAGTCCGATGCTGTTATGAATCCAGTGGGTCCCTGGCTGGGGAGGCTCAACCACACGCCGATAGCTGAGCGGACCATAGAAATACATCTCAGCTCGACTGCTCGGAAGAGTACAATAGACCGTTTTTAAAAATCAGGCATTGATGACGTTGTTCCTGGTCGGCTGGGCACCAACAGGAGTGGCGGCAAAAGCATCGAGTGCTCGTTTGTGCACGGCGCCTACCCAGTCGTCTGGCAGGTAAATGTACCGTTCCTCCAAGGTTTCCTGCAGACGTAGCTTGCGCAGCAGTAGACACCAGACTACTCTGGCTATCAGTAGTAGAGTCGGCCAGAACCCAGTGGTGAAGTTGGCCAGATGCTCGGCATAGGTTATGGATCGAACCAACAATTCCTGCGGGTCGTTGAGTATCACTCGGTCGGACATCCGGTGACCACAAGCATCGGGTGGTAACAGCGGAGATGTGATAGGTTGGCCCGCGAGCAGGTCACAATAGGCCCGAAGTACGTCGTAGGCGGCAGTGCCGTCGGCCAGATGATGGCTGATGCCGAAGCAAAGTAGAGTGGCGTTCTGGAGAAACGTGACGCGAACGAGGAAGACATTCGCAGGTCTGGCAGGTACATTGAAGATAAAAGCAACATCCAGTTCTTCGGGGTCGAGGGCCTCAATAATCGTCGGTTGGTTGCATTCTCTAGACTGGAGCACGCCATGTTTCCAGGATGCTGCACCTTTGGGAAGCGTCCGACTTGCAAAGTCGACAGTCGAGCCAGTGGAAAGTGCATACGGGCGGCACTGTCTCAAAGTTCAGAAAATCGTCATTGCGCCCGGGGTTCAATGATGGATACTAATCACTGACCGACCGGTAAAGCTGCCCTCCCAGAGCAGGCCACGCTTTTCCCAGCTGAGCTGCCGTCTGCCTCAACACGATTTCATCTAGATGCGCATCCACAATAAGCCCGGTGAAGATCATGGCATTGCAAGTAAGAGGGTGGACACTTCGACAACGATACTTGACTTTCTCCATGGCGTGGATGTTGTTTCTTCTTCCGCACAGGATGCTTGAAATGTAGAGTACTCCACAACGGTCTGCATTGGCTTCGCGCTGGATTTATTCTGCGGAGAACCAGCTGGATTATGTCACACTGGAACAAGGTTCGCTCGTCCAAGGTTGATACATGAGTTGATTATTTTCTAGTTCCACTGGCTTCTGGCAAGCGAACTCCTGACTCATTCGAATCCTATGGCCGACCGAATGGCTGACAGATCAACGAACGATGACCTATCAAACCGTTCTTGATACCAAGGTTGAACCTTCAACTTGATCTTGAGCTGGGAGGTGTCGATCCTCGTCGGAGTCCGGAGTAAAACCTTCGGCGATTATGCTCGTCGTGTACCCATACTTGGATTGATGATACTAAGATAAGGTTCCATTGACAGGGCACCGAGTCATCTGTCGTTCATGATTCGAAGTTACAACAGAAAGCACCAACCTAGCAACTGGCTGCTTATTCTCCCACTATATGGTAAGGACGCGCCGAGCAACGATAACGAAGCAGTCATCTGGCTCTTGTCGCTCCGCAGAACCAGCGTCAACATCAGAACCAGAAGAGTCTTTTTCGTGACACCGGCTGCCACTGTCTCTGTGACGGCGTTGGCGTTCTCCCTTCTCGCACTCAGGGACCAGGGATACTGAATGACACCCTGTCAACCGTCTGTCCACTCTGGATGCGCCGCATATTTATCGCTCGTGTCATGATCGAGGCTATTGACAAGATCCGTCCAATGAAGACGCAAAATGCGGTGCTTTCTGGATGCTATCCCTGCAAGTGAAAAATCTTTACAAGGCCCGCCGCCGCGACGCAATGTACAACTTCGGGTGAGAATGCGTTATGAGCTGACCATCATCACGATTGTTGATTGGTTGGTTCTCATAATCTGTCGCACGGTATCCCATATGCCAATTCCTTCCAAAGACGTATGATCCCGTACCACCCGCCATATTTGTACGGTGTGGTTCCACAGATGGCCCATCGGGTCATCCCTGACCCTTCTGCTGCAGCTGTTTGATCCGCTCGATCAAATCCGGCATCTTATACGGCTTGTAGATAATGTCGTTCATCCCCGCCGCCAGCATCTCATCCTTCTGAGCCGTCCGTACATTGGCTGTAACCCCGAGAATAGGGACCTGCGCCATGGGACCATCCAACTGGCGAATGGCCCGGGAAGCCGTTGTGCCGTCCATAATGGGCATGACCTGATCCATCAGTACACAGTCAAACCTCCCCTGCTGCTGGACCGCATCTACCGCCTCCTGGCCATTACTCGCTTCGCTGACCTGAAAACCGGAGGTCTGAAGCTTGCGCGAGAGAATGCGTTTGTTGATGACATTGTCTTCCACTAACAAAATGCGCCGTTCGCGCGGGTGTGACCGTGGTTCACTTCGCGGCTTTTCGGGAGCCTGATGATCCTCGTCCTCTGACACAGGTGAACCTCTCGACGCCGGGGAGGGGACTCCGCTGGCGATCTTCACTGTATGCAGCCGCCGACTGTCTCGGCTGGCGTGTCGCGAGATCTCCGGGATGTGAGTGACAGAGGGATTCTCGGGAATGCGTGGTCGGGCGTGACGCTCGGTCACTCCACTCATCTCGTTGCCCATTGCCTGGATCTGGCTGCACATCCGGTCAATCTCTGTGGTTCCGTTGCTCTTGCTAGGGTCCTCCCCGGGTCCTGCTGCAGTGCGTCGCACCGTGAAAAAGAATCCAAACGTACTTCCCTCGCCCTCCTTAGAACTCACGCCAATCTCTCCACCGTGCAAATGACACAACTTGCGACTGACATTCAGACCTAATCCCGATCCGCCGTATATTGTCTGGGTGCGCGGAGTCGCCTGGTTGAAGCGCTCAAACAACCTCTTCTGCGCCTCGTCACTGATTCCAATCCCATTGTCTTTTACGGCCACCATCAGAAACACGTATTCTCCCGCTCCCCATTCAGGTTGTGACGTCGCGTCCAATTTTAGTGCCTCCTCACCTGAGTCGAAGAAAACCACGTTCGGAGGATAGGAGGATGGCCGTTGGGTAGACGCACCGATGGAGACGCGGATGCGCTTGTCGTCGCCCGAATTGGCGGTGAACTTGATGGAGTTAGAGAGCAGATTGATGAGGACCTGGCTCATGCGATCCATATCCGCCATGACCCAATCAATGTCCAAGTTGGCGTAGGAATGGTCCAGCTGGTAGGTGAATTGAATATCATGTTTACGCAGCTCCGGACGAAACATGGCCAGTGCGGTGGCTACATTCCGGCGCGGTTGCACGCGTCGGGGAGAGAGCGTCAGCATGGCAGCATCCAATTTGGAGTAGGTTAGTACGTCGTCGATGATCTTCTTCTGGTGCGCCACGCAAAGACTGATGGTATCAGCTGCTTCAGCGATCTGCGTCCGCATTTCCTCCCCAATATCCGGGGAATGAACAGCCTCCAGGATATCCTCAGTGCAGTGGAGGATGGCCGATAGCGGGTTGCGCACCTCGTGGCTGATCATATCGATAAATCGCTCCTGTTGTTGCTTGCGGTCCTCTGCCTCATGGGCAATGCGACGCTGCGTCAATTCCGCCGTCTTCTCTTGTGTGATGTCGGTGATGGTGCAAACAAAGCCCCCTTCTGGTCCCAGGTTGAATCGTTGTCGCTCCTCCTCATCCTCCAGTGGCGTCAACAAACACACGCGCCATAGACACGGCTGCAACCGGGTACGGTATTCGATGCGGAGGGCATGGTAGGACTGAGAGGCTTCTCGATATGCTGCTGCTACGCGATCAAAGTCCTCGGGATGGATGGACTGGCACCAGCACTCAAAGGCACGATCGGAGGTGCAGGTGGTCAATTCCAAGAAGCGTTTGTTCACGAAGACGGACCCGTCCTGGTGATCAAGGACAGCCAGCCCGATAGGCATCATGTCGGCCAGCTGCTGGGCCGACACGTCTGGGTGGCCGCCCATGGCGTTATTGCTGGTTATTGTCTGCATGGTCTCGGTGTCTGAAGGGGGGAGAAGGGGAAAGGAAGGTTTGAGGAATGGCTCCAGGTCAGAGTTGGGTTGCGGCGCCGTGAGTCTACTGGTGCCGATCAAGCATAGGGAATTTTCTTGTGTTGCTGTGTGCTTTTCGTGGTTCAATCCATGTGAAATTTCCATGAGAAGCTGGTCCATGACGTCACGACATGGAAGAGCCCTATTATAACACCCATCAACAAACTTTCATTCTCCTGATCCCCGATCAAAATTTATGTGCCTGTCTATCTGCCACGATTGTAGACCCATTCTCACATTCACAATTTGCATCATAGCTACATACCTCGGAAGTATTATCGACCAATGTTGTTGACAGAAAGAACAGAAAAACGTAACCTCTCCATCCTAGGCAATCAACTTCCGCAGCCTCTATTCTCAGCAAAGCGGTTATTGTCCTAACATATAGAACACTGCTGTCTTCATGGTCCAGTTATTCTTTTTCTTCAGCCGCTACTGTCAGCAATAGTGTCTAAATCGCTCACACATCTTGGCCATCCTCTGCTGCAACCCCGGAACAGGCGATGGATATGCGACACATCCTCACTGAAACATGTTCCGGGTCTTTCGCCCCAAGGCTACCACTACTTTACCATAGGCGCAGTTGATGGGGTCTTTGTACTGATCATCAGCCGGTCGACTTTGGCGGACCCATGCAGGGGTAAGTCGGTTTGATCAACGCGTGGAAATTCAGGGGTCCTTCACTCCCCATTCTGTCTGAGACGTCCTCTTCGACAATACAATTGATGGTACAGTTGAAACTCGTCCCTGGTGACGCGATATGTCCATCCATTACTCTTTTTGTCACTAATATCAGCTATCACGGACGTGATTTTTCGTAAGTCAGCTCAACAAACCCTTTTCAGCAGTCAACGGTGCAGGTACGCAGAGCATTTGTTCGCGATGGGCTACTCTCCAGTATGATATGGTAGTTTCAGTCATTGACCTTAACTTCAGCCCTCGTCGTCTACGGTGCTATGGAGTTTATTACGTTACATGGCATAGCTATCCCATCAGCTCATATCATCAACCGCATGATACATATGATCCTTTGAAGCTGGTCCGATGAAAGACTGTAGTGGTGGAGCCAGAAAGTCAGGTCCATCACAGATGCGACACACGGCTCTCCTACGCGTGGACGAACAGCTCCTTCTGCCGATATATAAGAGTGCAAGTCACTACACATCTACCAGTTCGAGTCCATTCCAAGAGCGCTGTAGATCCCCACCCTCTCGAATACCATTTACTCCTACAAAAGTTGGTTGATCAATGGGCAAGCTCATATCATTGCATATCGCTCAAATCAACACATGTACAGGTTCCATTCTTCAAGGAAATGACAGGATTAAATGTAGCGAATCTGCCGGAAAGACTTGAGCATCATGTAGACCCCATGCAGGGTAGCGTACATGCTGGCGCCAGCCACGGCCCAGGCGGCGCCGTGCACGCGTAAGGAGCTGACGGGGATATGGCCTGGTTCTGAGCTATCCTTGCGATAGGTATCCGACCGCATGATATGTCGTCGTCGTTGGGTAGGGTCTGACGCATTCAGCTGCTGATCTTGAGATTGAAACATTCATGGCACAGGGAGCAGCGTACCCGCCGACTGCAGTCTCTGGCTGATGTTGCCGACGACTGGTCGGGAGCGACCGATGAGCATTTGATGCATTAGGATGTTTTAGTATATTGTGGTTGGTTTTGTCTTTTGGTGGTTACAGATATAGTGTAGTTGGGAGTGTGTGCAGGGTCCCGTGGCTATTATAAGCAGAGGGTGCAGGGGCGAATGGGTTGCCGGAACCAGGGTTGTCAGGCGACCGCGGGGGTGGCGAGAGGTGAGACTTTTGTTCATGATAGCATTTCCTCGTCATGGTCTGACTAGACTGCAGCTGGCATAGTATGCAGTTCATTCTCAGATGGTTCATCGTCTACTATACCTACGACCCGACATGATGGTTCCGCTGTTTCTCATTATAGCTGCATATCAAAGTATCTTTAAGTTATCGACTTAGCGTGTCATCATATGCTTTCATTTCTAGTAACATATTCATTCTAGTGAAATGAACGAATATTAAGTATCGGTATTCACTTCATCAAACCTCCTTGCACTAACATTGCCCCATATGTAGGGCTTATATATATTCAGTTGATGTGTTGGCAACGGTCGCAAAGGGATGAAAGCAAAGTATACTCCACCATACTTCAATAGATGTCGATTACAGATTCCATCCTCTCTTTTCTCTCTCTCCGAAGAAGTAATAGAAGCTTCGTTTGCTTCCCTTCCATCTTCTCTGCATAATCCACCGGATCTTCCGAGGACGCGAAGTGTCATGTGACGTCACAGGATGCTCTCCCCGCATTACACAGTCCATACCAATATTACGGTTAGGCTAGGCTTTGACCCGGTGTCGGATTCGGGGCAATCCCCACCGAGCGGAATATCCGACTTGGAACATCTCTTGCTTGGCTTTCCCAAACAAACAAGCAGAATGGCTATACTCCAGCATGTGAGGGCTCTCCTGCCCTCTGTGAATGAAAATTCAGTCGTCAGATCGAACGCAGGACAGTCATCTAGTCCTTAACCGTCACCATGGCTTCACCCGACTGGGCTCGCGCAGCCCCTTGGATCTGGCTACCTCACTATCTCGAAGAAGATAATCGCCCTGGCCGGTTCTTCCTCTTCAGAAAGACCTTTCAATGGCACCCTTCAGATGACCTACAAGACCTCCCTGTGCACGTCTCCGCCGACAGTCGATATCGCCTCTTCGTCAACGGTCACCGCGTGAGCTGGGGTCCCTGCAAGTCCTATCCAGGAAAATGGTACTACGAGACAGTCGATATCCGCCCATACCTCCGCGACGGTGAAAATGTAATCTGTGCGCGTGTTCTACGATATTCTACCCTCGTACCGGGCTCCTCGTCGATTGTGAGCATGCCGCTGCCCGGGTTCATGCTGTACTCTCCGCATCCCGAACTCGCCATTTCTACTGATCCCTCGTGGACGTGCATCGAGCAACGATCCGTCAAGATTATCCCGCAGACTGAATGGAATTACCTGCTTGGTCCGCCGTTTCTGTCAAACAATGAACGCGCCGAGGAAGACCAAACCATAACCGGTTGGCAAATGGTTGGATATGATGACTCGCGGTGGGATAAGGCGGTATTCCAGTCCAATGCTGTGAAGATGCTTCCTATAGTGAGTCCGTGGAAGCTGGCACCGCGTTCGATACCAGAATTACCGGAGATTGAAGGGAGGTTCGACGGAATAGTCAAGGCGACTGGTTCTGTCAGCGAAGACGAGTGGAAATTGCTGGTTCGAGAGGACAAGCCCGTGGTGATCCCAGCAAATGCGCAGATTGCTGTGGATCTCAGCGTTGAGGCGCTGATGACGGCGTTCGTCAGCTTCGGCTTCAGTGGTGGAGCGGGCGCAGAGATTAGTATCTTGTATTCCGAATGTTACGAGAAGAACCTGGGAGTGGAGACCGCACCATTTCCCATGCCTAGATCCAAATCTAATCGATCGGACGCGAGTGGTCGCCTGTATGGTGTGAAGGACCTTTACACCGTCACTTCCGGACAGGACGTGCACTCATTCGAATCATTCTGGTTCCGGTGTTTTCGCTACGTGCAACTCGGGATAACCACAACTGCCAACCCAATAACACTGACGAGCATCTCCCTGCGAGAAACTTCCTACCCACTAGAGATCACCACCAAAGTCGACGCTGGTGCCGAGCTCAACAAGATCTGGGAGATCAGTTTACGAACACTCCAGAACTGCCGCCACGAGACATACGAAGATTGCCCGTTCTACGAACAGAACCAATTTGCATCGGATTCTCGACTACAGATGCTGTTCACCTACCAATTATCCCCCGATGACCGTCTCGCCCGCAAGACTCTCGAGGAGTTCCACGCTAGCAGAACACCAGACGGACTGATTGTGGCACAGTATCCGACTGGCTTCGCTTCTAAGCAGATCCCGCAATTCTCCTTATTCTGGATTCTGATGGTACACGACCACATGATGTACTTTGCGGATATGACACTAGTGCGCAGGTACCTAAGCACAGTGGATAGCATCATCCAGCATTTCGAGGATCGCCTTGATGACCGTGGTCTAGTGGGCCATTTTGACCCCGATACGTGGCCGTTCGTCGACTGGGTGCAGGATTGGTTCGTCCCGGGGCAGATCTTCAAGTCGTGTATGCCTCCGGCGTACCATACCGCGGGTGCGGCTACTGTTAACAGTTTGATGTATGCGTATGCCCTACTACATGCGGCGGAGCTGTGCGAGTTTGTCGGGCGGATAAGCACGGCGGAGGAGTATCGGGCGCGGGTGCACAGTATCCGGAGTGCCGTGAATCAGCGCTGCACGTCTAACTCCCAGTTATATCTGGATGGCCCAGGAGTGGAACAGCACAGCCAACACACACAAGTTTTTGCCATCCTCAGCGAAACAGTAACAGGAGACGCTGCAAAGCAGCTCCTCAGACAGACCGTGACCGACTCTTCCCTCGCACAATGCTCATACGCCATGAAATTCTACGTCTTCCGAGCTGCAGAAAAGACAGGCATATACAGCGAACTATTTTCCAGCATGCTAGATCCATGGCGGTCCATGATGGCCAATAACCTGACGACATGGGCTGAGGATGAGGTGAACGCCCGCAGTGACTGTCATGGGTGGAGCGCCAGTCCGGTGAACGAGATCGTCACGCAGCTGTTCGGGGTGAAGCCTGCCGAGCCAGGCTTTGAGCGGGTCCGTATCGTGCCCCGGAGGGAATTAGTGGCTGCAGCTGATGGGGTATTGCATACCTCTCGGGGGGATATTAAGGTGCAGTGGGCCCAGGGGAAGCCGCTAAGTGTCGAGGCGACGAGTAAGATTCATGTGGAGATTGTGGTTGATGGTCGGATAGTTGAGAGGGTGCTGGGTCCTGGGGAGTCTGTCATTTTTTGCTGAGTAGGGATCTTGTGGTACGTAGTAGAACTGTATATGCATTAAAAAACCATTGAATGGGATTGTACCTACAATACATCCTTGAACCCAGGTCTTCTACCGTGATACTGTAATGAGAATAGGTGGTCGAGTTACCTCAAAGGAGGATTCAGGCATGAAACTTGTGAAAGTTCATCCACCTCGGGCCCAAGCTGATCTGCAGAACGCGTGGAGATGCACTGAATCAGCGTTCTGTTCCATGAAAAGCTTGCCCCCTAATTGTCGATCCAGGCCCGGAATTGCCGACATGAAGGAGGGTCCGGCATTTCCGCTTCCTCGGAAGACGTTCTGATTGTCCTCCAGTCCTCCCAGGCTGCCAGGTTGTACCCCATGGGGTAGACCCGCCCTGCCCAGGGCCCTGGTCATTTCCCTGGTCATTAATGGGGCATGGGTATCAGCTATATTTCCCCCACGCCTCGTTGCATGTCCGGCATCAACAATTCCAGCACACTCAGGACTTGGTCAGCAGCAGAGTCCACAATTGAGTGCCAGTATGTCCACCGACCAAAAGTCGGAGTCGAGCCATCTCGAGGTGGTGGACCAGCAGGTCCGTCGACCAGACACTGGAACACTGGAGATCCACGACCCGGCTAGCCAGCATGGCCGTTCGACATGGCAGGCACTCCGAGCGAATCCTATCGTGGTCCTCTTCTGTCTGTATGGAAATATCGGCGCGTTGATGTACGGGTTCGATAACCTGGTTCTGTCGCTGGCGCTGTCCATGACTGCTTTTGAGTGAGTATTCCCCGGTATACTATAGGTAACAATCTAGGCAGTTGCTAACGGGATGTCTTAACAGACAAACATTCGGTACCCTCACGAAGGGCTCATACGTGATCCCCGCATACTGGCAGTCCCTGTGGAACGCCCTCTCCCAAGTCGCAACGATGCTTGGGTCAACAGCAGCGGGTCCTATCCAGGACAGATTCGGACGTCGAGCAGCCTTCCTCGTCGCGGCATGTTTATCTGCCGCTGGCATTGCAGTCGTGTATACGGCGTCGACACCGGGCGCGTTTCTCGCCGGGAAGATCGTCAATGGCTTGTCGTTGGGTCTCGCTTTGACCACGGGGCAGACGTATATTTCGGAGATTACATCGCTTGAGGTGCGAGGTATTGCTCTTTCGGGGTATACCTTTTGCATGGTATGTTCCTTCTAGACATGTAGCGAGAGACAGTGATGTTGACAATGGATCTCGTAGAACCTGGGATATCTGATCGCCGCATCTGTGGCTCTACCGCGAATGTCAATGTCCACCGATGCTGCATACAAGGTACGTGATTCATACTTCAATCCAACCTCATAAACTAAGAAGTCAGGTCCTCTTCGCCTCCGGCTGGGTCTGGCCCGGTGTCATCCTCCTTTTCCTTCCATTCATACCCGAATCCCCATACTTTTGCGTCATGAAAGGGCAACGCGAAAAGGCCGGCCGCATGCTATCCCGACTGGGCAACCCAGCGTCGGAGTCACCGCTCATTCTGGCAGACATAGTCCGCACACACGAAGAAGAGCAACAACGCAATGAAGCAGCCAAGGAGGCCAGCTTCCTGGAATGCTTCAAGCGAGTCAACTGGCGCCGCACGCGGATCATCCTCTACTGCAATGCTCTGTCGCAGGTGATTGGGTCCAGCTTCATGACTAACGGGCCGTACTTTCTCGTACAAGCGGGCATGTCCTCTGCTAAGACGGGAATGATGACCGAAATAGGT